ATTTAGGTCTCAATTGTGGTCGTAGGTCGGGACCACCTCTATTGTCTGAAACCCACCTAAAAGGCTGTGCATATTTACCACTTCTCCAGAATTAGAATATAAGAATCAGAATAGAGCTGGAAGGGACCTTGGAGATCCTCTAGTCCAACCCCTGCTCAAGCAGGGGATCTTATACCATTTCAGACAAGTGACTGTCCAGTCTCTTCTTAAAAACATCCAGAAATGAAGCAGCCCACAACTTCTGAATTCAGATGTTTAAAATAAACAAGAGATCGGGAAGAGGCAAAAATGTAAAACAAATGAGGTTTTTTTTTTTAATTTAAAACCCTGTACAATCAAAACTCCTAATTTCTAGAGTAGAAAATAGAGGGAAGGGTTTCTCCATTTTGGCCATTTTCAGATATGTGGACTTCAACTCCCAGAATTCAACAGGGCTGGCTGGGAATTCTGGGAGTTGAAGTCCACTCATCTGAAAGTTACTGAGATAAGAGTTCAGATATTCCAGAACTAACTTCTAGAACTATCTTAGAAACTTGAGTGTTAAATGCCTTGTTTCTTTTTCTTTAACAATAACACTTGGGCATTCTGAAAATGTTCTGAGGCGCTCTTACAACTTGCTTCCTGTATCTAAATCACGGAAGTGTTCCCTTTTCAATGTATCAGTTTGAATCTATAGGCAACCAATGCATTTCTTCATTCCTTTAAACACATCCTTATCTCTTTTTTTCCCTCCCCTTCAAAGGGACACTGAATTACTTGGGAACAAAATTGCAAAACATGGTTGAGTGTCCAAACTGTGAAGCTGAAAAACAGATAATTCTAGATAATTAAAAAAAAATAGACAATAAAAATAGAATTCTGTAGGCATGTATGTTCTGAGTGAGATGACCCATTGAAGGACATCCAAGGCTGGCTACAATCGGTAAAAAAAACCATATCCAATGCAATTTGGGAATTGAAGTTCACAGATTTTAACCTTGCAAAAGTTGCTAATCCTCATGAGAAAAGAAGGAAAAAAAAAACTTTCCTTTCCTTTATGGCATGTGAGATTGGGACCGTGCCGAATTCTCATTGGTTCTTGTGGGTCTTCCCAAAAGGTGCTTTTTCAAGAGGCAACTGGACTTTATCGTTTTTCTTTGAAGACATTTCACTTCTCGCCCAAGAAGCTTCTTCAGCTCCGACTGGATAGTGGAATATAGAAGGAATGATGCTCCTTGCAGACAGCTGGTCATTTGCATCCTTTTTAGAGAGCCGCTGTGTCCTTGTGTCCTTGGGGGTCTCCTGAATAGTACAAATGGGTGTGGCCTTTTCAAATTGTTGAAAAGACTGTGTTGTACACTGGAGAAAAATGATGTTGTATCCCTCCCACTCTGTTGAAAGAAGAGTCTTCAGTTTTGACACAGACGGCCTCTTCGACCCCTCTTTCAAACCAGTGTCCAAAATGTGGACTTTGCTGTCTTCAGAAGAGTAGCCGTTGTCTTTTAAATGCGGATGGACTGCTGAATCTTGTCCTGTTGGGTTTCTTCTAGGTTGTGCCATGCGGTTAGGAAGTGGCTGTTCTGTTTCCCCAATGTCCAAATTTGCACCTGGCTCATTGCATTGGATTGCATTGACTAGGTGGCCTCAATGACACCTCTAGAAAGGATGCAAATGACCTGCTGTCTGCAAGGAGTGCAAATCCTTCCGTTCCCCCATTCATGCAGAGCTGAAGAAGCCCCTTGGAGGAGAAGCAAAACGTCTTCGAAGAAAACAACAACAAAGAAAGTCCAGTTGCCTCTTGGAAAATCATCCGGTCTGTGCAGTCCACTGCAATGAGCCATGTGCAAATTTGGACATTGGGGAAACAAAACAGCCACTTCATAACTGCACGGCACAACCTAGAATAAACCCATCAAGAATAGTTTCAGCATCTGCATTTAAAAGACAAAGGACTGAAGACGCTTTTGGGATGAGAAGTGAAACGTCTTGAAAGAAAAACCAGAAAGTCCAGTTGCCTCTTGAAAAAATGGGACTCTCTTCGCAATGTTTTTCTTTAATTTTATTGGGCTGGATTTCTTACAGCCGCCCTTCTCAGAATTGCCCCCCCCCCCCAATTTTGCTCACCCCTTAACTTAATCAACCATTTATAGGTGATCAACCCAAGGACATTTTGGAAGTAAACACTTTGGGATTTACCGCTGGGCCTCAGGCCTCTGTCTGCTTTGCAAAGCTTCATAAACAGGTCCAGAAATGTCCTCTGGGGTTGGTAGACTTTGCCCATTTCCATGACGTCGGCTGTTGGGGGCCTTTGCTGTGATTTCTGGACCGTGGCTTGTTTGGAAATCTCTCGTAGGAAGAAACTTGTTTGCTGTACTTTGGGATTGTTGAACCAGGAGATCAAAGGGGATCACGGTTATCTCTCTCGGGTTGTTGTCGCGGCAAAAAATCCCGGTCAATGGGGATAGGGTTTCGGTGTTGCGGTGAAAAATCCGGCCTCAGAGTCTTGCCTTAAATGACTTTGGAAATCCTGCAACAGAAAGTCGAAACCGTTTCCCCCAAAAAGGTGGGGGAGGGATTTAGCATGGAAGTGCGTTTCTGCACGGCGATCGGTGCTCAGCCTCCGTAGAGCTTCCATGGAGAGGAGCAGTCTATCTCCACTGATTTCCTGGGAGAAAAGATGGAGAGGTTAACTCGACCCTTCTCCCTCTTGTTCAGGCAGCCAAATGAAGGGGAATCTTTGACCCGATCAGATAACAGATAATCAGAGCTGGAAGGGACCCTGGTAGGTCATCTAGTCCAACCCCCCCGCCCAAGCGGGAGACCCTACACCATTTCTGACCAAAGGCAGTCCAATCTCTTCTTGAAGGTCTCAAGTGATGGATCTCATTGAGCAATTCTCTGAATGGGAATATTTATTTGGGCGCATCTCGTAAGCGTTCCTCCACTTAGGACCGCTGGGACGGGAACTTCCGTCGCTAAGAGACGGGGTCATGAAGTGAATAATCAGGTAACCACCGGAACAGCCACAACTGGAAATACAGGCAGTCCTCGAATTACGACCACATTTGAGCCCCCCCCACACCAAATATCCGTTGCTAAGTGAGACCATTGTTGCCTTTTTCAATACTTTGAACAGTCACTGAATGAATGTTGTAAGCTGGGACTATTTTTATTCCCTGAAAATCATGTATGCCAGCTAGATAGGTAACTATGGGCCCTTCACGACTCATGGACTTCAACTCCCAGAATTCCTGAGCCAAGCAGCTCAGGAATTGTGGGAGTTGAAGTCCACAGGTCATATACAGCCCATGGCTGCCCATCTCGGATCTGTGCTTTTTCTACTGAACCATCCACTCGGTTGTTCCTTCCTCTTCCCCATTTTATTTTTTTAAGAAGGCTTTTTCTGGAAATTATGGGTAGTCCTCGACTTACAATGGTTCATTTAGCGACCGTTCGAAGTGACCAGGGCACTGAAAAAAGAAACTGATGACTGTTTTTCACAGTTACGACCTTTTCGGCATTCCCATGTTCAAAATTCAGACGCTTGGCCACCGGTTCATATTTACGACGGTCGCAATGTCCTGGGGGGGGGTCACGTGATTTCCCCCATTTGCAACCTTCTTTACGAGCAAAGTCAACGGGGAAATCCAATTCACTTAACCGCTGTGTTACTCACTTAACATTTTACATCCTTTCTCACCACCGTTGTTAAGTGAATCACTGTAGATGTTAAAGTAGTAACTCGGGTGTTAAGCGAATCTGGCTTCCCCTCCCCCTCCTGACTTTGCTTATCGGAAGGTCGTAAAAGGGGATCACATCAGAGGTGGTATTCAGCAGGTTCTGACCAGATCTGGAGAACCGGTAGCGGAAATTTTGAGTAGCTTGGAGAACTGGCAAATCCCGCCTCTGATTGGCCCCACCCCCATCTATTCTCCGCCTCTCGAGTCCCAGCTGATTGGCTGGGTCTTCTTTGGTTGCCCTGCCCAGGAGAATAGAGCTGGAAAGCAGGTTAGTGGGGTGGGGAGGGAATGAGGATTTTACAGTGTTCTTCCCTGCCACGCCCACCAAGCCACACCCACCAAGCCACGCCCACAGAACTGGTAGTAAAAAAAATTGAATCTCACCACTGGATCACATGACCCTCTTTATGACTGTCTTTGCCACTGTTGCTAAGTGAATTGTGGTGTTTGATAAGTTGATAAGAGCCAGGGTGGTGCAGTGATTAGAATGTGGTATTGCAGACTAATTCTGCCCACAGTTCGATTCTCACCGGCTCATGATTGACTCAGCCTTCCATCTGCCCTTCCGAGGTTGGTAAAACGAGGACCCAGGTTGTTGAGGGGCAAGAGGCTGACTCTGTAAACCACTTAGAGGGGGCTGTACAACAGTATATAAGTCTTAAGTGCCATTGCTGTTGCTTTTTATTAAGTAAATCCCTGCCGTGGTTCCATCAGCCACATGGTTGTTAAGTGAATCGTATTGCTTCCCTCATTGACTTTGCTGGTCAGGTCGCCTGAGGACTCCTGAACTCTGTAACCGTCATAAAGACGAGTCAGAGGCCAAGCATCCCAATGTCAACCATGGGATCCCGGAGGGATGCCAAAACGGTCGGTCGCAAGTGTGAAAAAACAATCCCAAGTATGATGCAATGGTTGGCCGTAAGTGTGAAACAACCAACCCATCGGTTGTAAGTGTGAAAAAACCATCCTACGTATGCTGCAACAGTCGGTCATAAGTGTGGAAAAACCATCCTAAGTCCCTTCTTTCCTTGCAGCCAGGATGTATACCTCAAATGGTCGCTAAGCGAAGCATCGTAAGTCGAGGGCCGAGCTGTATCGGGGAGACGGGGACTCTCCATAAAGGCGACGCCCAAGGGCATCTGCACGTGGTCAGGAGTCCCCATTCGCAGATCCAGGCGGCGGAGCAAGAGCCGGGCGGGGTTACATCATGCCGACGCGGCGGGAGGGGCGGAGGGGCGGGCGGGGGGCCCGGCCGGGCCGGCCTATGAGGCGGGCGAGGCGGGCTCCTTCGCCCGGGCTGCCTCCGCGCCTCCCTCGCCTTCTTAATCCGGAGCCCCGCGGGCTGCTGCTGCTGCCACCGATCGGGGGCTGGGAACGACGCGATGCCGGCGCCCTACACGCGGATCGTGGGGTGAGCGAACCGCCCGCGGGTCCCCCTCGCCGACCCCCCACGACCCCCTTGGCATCCCCCCCCTCTCCCCCGCCGGGAGTAGGCAAGTGGAGGGGGGGAATCCCAACGGGGGACAAGTGGAGATCATCTTTCTGGGTCGGATGGGGGGGAGGTGTTGACCCGGGTCAGAGTGCTGTGCTTCCCTTCCTCTTTTCCTTCCTTCCCTCCCTCTCTCTGTTTCCCTCCTTCCTTTCTTTCCCTCTCCCCCCTCTTTTCCTTCCTTCACCCTTTCTTTCCCTCCCTCCTTCCCTCCCTCCCTCTCTGTTTCTCTCCCTCCTTCCTTCCCTATCCCCCCCACGTTCTTCCCTTCACCCCCTCTCTCCCTTTCCTTTCTTCCTTCCCTCCTTCCTTTCCTCCCTCCCTTCTCTTTCTTCTCTCCCTCCCTCCTTCTTTCCCTTCCTCCCTTTTCCTCCCTCCCTCTCTCCTTTTCCTTCCTTCTTTCCTCCCTTCTTCTCCCTTCCTCCCCTCTTTATTGCAGCCTCAGTTTGCTGCCTGTGAAATGGGCGCAACAGGATGTCCAGCAGGATTCAAAAGTTCTGCAGTGCATCCTTTCTGCCTCCTTGCCCCACATCCTCATTTCAGGGGGTCATCCCCCATAGACCTGACTTTGGCTGGCCCTCCTGCCTTCCCTTCTTGCCTGCCCATCTGGTCGCCTCCCCTTCCCCCCCTCCCACAAAAGTTGTGGGTTGCAGGGCAAAAACTAGGGTTGTGTGAACAGGGTAGAACCAGGAAAACCTTAAGCTATAAACTAGATTGCTCTGGTTTTCTGCCTGCACATCTTTCTGTTTTTTTGTTTTTTTTTTAGGAAATGCCCGCTGGGTTAGCTAGAGCCGTTGCTTCTTCTCCACGTCATCCTCCTCACCAGGGACTAGCCCCCCCTCCTTTCGCAACCTTTCACCCACAAACTCATTCCTAAAGTCATGTTAGCTTTCCTCCTCTCTTTTTTTTTTTTTAAAAAAACATTCTTTTGCAAGGACTCCAGTTTGGATACAGTTAATCTGGGTTGGATACAAAAACCCGGAAGATACTTTGACTTCCTCCTCCTCCTCCTCCTCCTCCTCCTCCTCCTCCCTCTCGTGCCATTTACACGCACGCATACACACACAGACACACAGACACACACAGAAGCCTCCCTCATTCTGCCACTTCAGTTTTGTATCCAAATTCCTTTGCAACCTAGGAAATTATGACTTTGGGACACTTGTGCTCAAAACTTTGCCCTTTCCGTTTGCAATTGCACACAAACTACACAATGCGATGACACAACTTGGACATTGTAATCTGCAGCCGAAGTACACTTGGCTGCAAAATTCCTAGGAAAAGTAGTTGCGCAACCTTTGGAAAAGTTGATATTTGTTTTAAAAAGAGGGGGGGAAAAATACACCCAGAGCCAGCCCAATTGTGCAAGGGAGAATGGGACGGGGGGGGGGGGGGGGATGGGGCGTGTCGAGCCTCAGTTTCCCAGGCTGTAAAATGGGCTGAAGAGGGAAAGGGTTGTGTTGGGAAGAGTGTTAAAAGAGTGCAAATGGGACTTTCTCCTTCCTAAGGCTTAAATTCAGTGGGTTATCCTAATTGATGTACTAAATTTGAAAAGGAAATGTCTCTTTCTGAGTCAGCTGGTTGGACAGACGTGTCATCTTAATTAATTTAATCATCATCATCAACATCATCATCATCTTCTTGCCAATTTGCCTCAGTCTTCTCCTGCAATGATTTTCAACCCTCGAACAGAATGTACAGCCATAAGATTTCCTAGTGGTCTTCTTTCCAGTTGCCAAATCAGTATTTCTCAACCTGATCAACTTTAAGGAACGGACTTCAACTCCCAGAATTCCCCAGTCAGCTATGCTGACTGGGGAATTTTGGGAGTTGAAGTCCACCCCTCTTAAAGTTACTCAGATTTTATTTATTTTTTAAAATAATTTTTATTAAACAATTTTTCTTATATACAACATCATTTCCATTCATTACACTTCCGTGACAGTATGCATACTTTTACATAAATTTTAACTATCTGTACATTTGTGTATATTCCTTAATCTATCTTCGTCCAGTTACTCAGATTTCTAATTTCTATGCTGGTCTGAGGGAATTCTGGGAGTTGAAGTCCACAGAGTGACTCCGATTTTTATCTCCATGCTGTACTGGGGAATTCTGGGAATTGAAGTCCAGAAAGTGACTCAGATTTTTAATCTCTGTGCTGGACTGGGAAATTCTGGGAGTTGAAGTCCAAAAAGTGACTCAGATTTCTAATCTCCATGCTGGTCTGGGGGAATTCTGGGAGTTGAAGTCCACAGAGTGACTCTGATTTCTAATATCTGTGCTGGATTGGGGAATTCTGGGAGTTGAAGTCCAGAAAGTGATTCAGATTTCTAATCTTTATGCTGGACTGGGGAATTCTGGGAGTTGAAATCCAGAAAGTGACTCAGATTTTAATCTCCATGCTGAGCCAGGGAATTATGGTTTTTCACACTTATGACCATTGCATGGTCATGTGATCAAAACCCTTCCTTCTTTCATTCCATCCATTCGGATCCTGGGCAACTGACTCATACTTATGATGGTCACAGCGTCCTGGGGTCACGTGATCCCCTTTGGCGACCTCCCAACAAGCAAAGTGGAGAAGCCGGATTCCCTTAATGACCACGTGACCCACTTAAGAACGCCAGCGCTTTGCTTAACAGACGCAGCGAGAAGAGTCGTAAGGCGGAACGAAACTCCGCGCACCAATGTCTCATTTGGCCCCGTGAAATTTTGAGGCTCGAGGGTGGCCGTACGTTGAGGAATCCCTGTGTATATCCTCTTGCAAGAATAATAATAGTAGTAATGGCCTGCCAAGACGCCCGGCAGAGGCCAACGCCGAATGGATCTCTTCTCCCTCCCTTCAGCGTTGGGTGTAATTGCCAAGGGTGGCAGGATACCAGCTGCGTCCCTTCAGCAGTGGGGGAGGCCGGATGGGGGTTGTGCGAAGGCGAGGGGGGTGGGGCGGCTGGAATTCTAGTTCCATCAGGAACACCATTTTCCTGGATCTCAGGAATCAGATCACGCGTTGCTTTTGCCGGTTTCTTGGCCCCTTGTCAGACCTGGCTCCCCTCGAGGGCCCGGGGCGCGGCAGAGAGTGGAAGGATGCCGACCGCTCCTTTCTCACCCTGGATCTGGGGTTCGAGGAGGACCGGTTCCAGCAGTTCCCTGGCGGGGATTTCTCCCACACCTCCTCCCCGCCCTCCGACAATCCTGGAGGGCAGGAAACGAGGGTCACAGCTCAGGTCGTCCTCAAATTAAGACCACAATGGTGCCCCCAACATTTCTGTGGCTAAGTGGGCCATCGGGTAAGCGAGTTTTGCCTGCCTCGCTTGGCGCCGTCGTTAAATGAATCACCACGAGTGTGAAGTGAGTCGCACGGCCATTAAGCTTTCCCACTGTCTTGGCTCGTGAGAAGGGCAACCACAGTTGAGCCCAGAATTCCTGTTGCTAAGCAAGACAGTCGTTAAGTGGGGTTTACCCTCATTTTTGCAGCCTTTCCTGACACCATCATTAAGTGAATCACTGCATGGTTCAGTGAGTCACACGGTTGTTAAGCGAATCAGGCTTTCCCAGTGCTCGTGAGAAGGTGACCACAATTGAGTCCAGAATTTCTGTTGTTAAGTGAGACAATCATTAAGTGGGTTTTACCCTATTTTTGCAGCCTTGCCTGCCACTGTTGTTAAGTGAACCACTGCATGTGTTAAGTGAGTCACACAGTCATTAAGCGAATCCCTCATTGATGTCGCTTGTCGGAAGGTCACCAAAGTGGGGTCATCGCATGACCTCAGTACGCTGCGACCGTCATAAATATTAATCAGTGGCCAAGCGGATGAATTTTGATCAGGTGACTGGGGGGGGGTGCGGCTTGCAATGGTCATAAGTGTGAAAAACAGCCCCAAGTCCCTTTCCTTGGTGCCACTGTAACTTGGAACGGTCGCTAAACGAACTGTTGTAAGCCAAGGACTACCTGGAGTGGAATTGAGCAGCTGGTGTGTATCAACAGGGCTCAACAACTTACAGTGGTTCATTTAATGACCATTCAAAGTTACAAAACCACTGAAAAAAAGCAGACTTGTGACTGTTTCTCACACTTATGCCCACTGCAACATTCCCCTGGTCATGTGATCAAAAATTCAGACGCTCTGACTCACATTTACGACAGCCACTGCGTCCCAGGATCAAGTGATTCCCCTTTTACGATGAACAAAGTCAACGTGAGGGAAGCCAGATTCCTTTAACGTCCGTGTTACTCACTTAACGACGGGAGAGATTCACCACACAACCAGGGCACGAAAAGGTGTACATTGGGTGGGGGGGGAGGGGCAAAATACACCTCACGATTCTTTTCCCTTAGCAGCCAATATTTGGGGGGCTCCATTGGGGTCGTTAAGTCGAGGATTGCCTAGAAAAACACCCCAGATTTGTGGGCAGCCTTGAGAAGCGGGCGTGGGAATTGCACGCCCTCCTGGGAACAAGCCTGCCGGGGCGCAGCAAGTTCGTTGGTGTGTGTTTGTGTTAGCGTGCATAATTTATGCACTTGTCTCCAAATCTAAGATAATATTTGGGGTGAGACAAGATATACATGTTTTTGATACCCGCAAGACTTGGGTGAAAACTTTTTGGGGTGAAGGGTGCCTGTTGGTGATTCTTTCGCCTTCCCTACACACACACACACACACACACACACACACACACACACGGTGTGAGAATTGTGCATTGTGGCAAAAGGCCAAACTTTTATCGCAAACTTTCTCCTAGTTCCTTAAAGCCTCCCTAGAGACAGATTAAATCTGGTAGTGCGTATTTTAATTAGGGTGATACTTTTAACTAGTTCCAACCTCGTTTTCTCAGGTTTCCCCCCCCCCCCCCCCCCGTTTTGGCTTGCTCAGGATGGGACGTGGCCTGTAGGGGAGTGCTTCATAGACCACGCTTAAACACGCCTGTGCATATATAGAGCGTGTGCACAATGCGGCAGTGCTGAATTGTGCATTTTGCTTGCGACGAATCGGCTTTGAAGAGTGGGTTTTGAAGGGTTTGCAAAGCTGACATTTGTGAACACAATAATGCAGTGGTTTTCAACTGTGGGAAATTTAAGGTGGATGGATTTCAACTCCCAGAATTCTCCAGCCAGCATGCTTTAAGATGCACGGACTTCAACTCCCAGAATTCCCCATGTTTTAAGATGCATGGATTTTAACTCCCAGAATTCTCCAGCTAGCATGCTTTGTTGCATGGACTCCCAACTCCCAGAATTCCCCATGCTTTAAAGTACACGGACTTCAACTCCCAGAATTCCCCAGCATCATGCTTTAAGACACATGGACTTCAACTCCCAGAATTCCCCATGTTTTAAGATGCATGGACTTCAATTCCCAGAATTCTCCATGTTTTAAGATGCATGGATTTTAACTCCCAGAATTATCCAGCTAGCGTGCTTTAAGATGCATGGACTTCAACTCCCAGAATTCCCCAGCATCATGCTTTAAGACGCATGGACTCCCAACTCCCAGAATTCCCCATGCTTTAAAGTACATGGACTTCAACTCCCAGAATTCCCCAGCATCATGCTTTAAGACGCATGGACTTCAATTCCCAGAATTCCCCATGTTTTAAGATGCATGGACTCCAATTCCCAGAATTCTCCATGTTTTAAGATGCATGGATTTTAACTCCCAGAATTATCCAGCTAGCGTGCTTTAAGATGCATGGACTCCAACTCCCAGAATTCCCCATGTTTTAAGATGCACGGACTCCAACTCCCAGAACTCACCATGCTTTAAGATGCATGGATTTTTAACTCCCAGAATTCCCCAGCCAGCATGCTTTCAGATTGGTGCACTTCAACTCCCATAATTCCTCATCCAGCATATTTTAACATACATGGACTTCAACTCCCAGAATTCACAGTTGGCTGGGGAATTCTGGGAGTTGAAGTCCACCCATTATTAAAGTTGATAAACACTGCAATAGTGTATTTTTTCTGATAAAAATGTCCCTTTTAAAGCAAAAGTAGACCATTAAAAGACTGTGTTCCTATCTTGTGTGTATGTGGAGTAAGAACATGCACAAAGAAAAATGATTTCTAAATGGCATATTTGCAAATATGGCTGCTCTCATTTGCGCTGACGTTCGCTAGGTGTCTTTGGTTCAACTGGGTCAATTTACTTTAACGAGATTTAATTGAATCGAAGGCTGTTTATTTAAGCATGCTGTTTTTTTTTTCATCCTCCTTTCTACGTGGCCTTTTGCAGTCTCTGACTTGGGTTTGTATACACAAGCCTTTTGGAGAGGTTGCTTCACTCTCCCTGAGCGCACACAAAGTTCACACACACACACACACACACACACATACACGGGCCTTTCTGAACCGGTACAAAGTTGGGAAAGATTTACACATGTCGGTGAAATCTTGCCAAAGAGGCTCAGACACACACACACACACACACACACTGGGTGCACATGTCAAAATCAAGCTAGGACTTACTTTCAGGGTAGGTCGTATTTTCAGTGAAACTATACTTATGACATCTCGACTGTATATATAGTCAAGATGTCATAAGTCAAGGACTGCCTACATTTGAGTGGGGGGGGCAATGATGGTTAGAGGCCTCTTTTCTTCTCCTAGCTCTCTTTCGGAAGTTGTGGGAGCTTCATCTCTGGAGGCTTTCAGGAAGAGACTGGACTGCCCTCTGTCAGAAATGGTGTTAGGGTCTCCTGCTTGGGTGGTGGGGTTGGACTAGATGACCTACAAGATCCCTAATCTAGTTCTAATCCTCTTTTCCAGCCGTGGAGCCTTCTTGCTTCGGAGATGGTCTGCTGTGCCGGTGCGTTGGGCCCACACGCCACGTGTACTCCACGGCGACTTGGCCAAACTGTCCAGCCGGGCTCAGGAGTTTGTTGAGCAAGGGGTGCGACTCTGCCAGCCGGACAGCCTCCACATCTGCGACGGGACGGAAAAGGAGAACACCAAAATCTTGAATTTCCTAGAATCGGAAGGCATCATCAAGCCGTTGACAAAATACGAGAACTGGTAAGCCCGTCCGGCTGTTCTCTCTTGTGGGGATAGGGTATGGGGAGGAATGCCAGTTCCCGTCCAGCCTGGGGGACGATGGGAGTTGGAGTCCTGCACGACTGGATTGCCACACACCGGACGTGTTTGCAAAACTTCGACAACCGAAATTCCTTCCTTTCTTCCGCAGCTGGTTGGCGAAAACTGACCCGAAGGATGTCGCTAGGGTGGAGAGCCGGACGGTTATCGTCACGGAGGACCAGAGAGACACGATTCCTGTCACAGCTCCGGGGGTCAAGGGTCAGCTGGGCAACTGGATGAACCCCAAAACCTTTCAAGAGGCAGTGGACGATCGGTTCCCTGGTTGCATGAAAGGTGAACGGACAGAAACGGGCCCGTTTTCGGCCTCCTGGAACTTCCAAGAGGCCTGTTTTTCGCCCTCCCATTTACTTGGGATCCAAAATGGACCGCATGGAGGAGGGGGGAGGAGAGGGGTGGGATGGTCAGGGCCAGCCAGCCGTTGCAACTATCGGTTCAGCGAACCAGATGTAAAATTAACACCCAGCTCACCCGAACCGGTGCAAACCGGTAGCAGCCCACCCCTGGAGAATGGAATCCATTCATCCATCTTGGCTAAACTGGTTTTTTTTTATTTTTATGCTTTTGGTTTGTTCACTGATGCTGTTTAGAACTGTGGTTTTCAAATACCTCAAGTTTTAAGACGGGTGGACTCCAACTCCCAGAATTCTCCAGCCATCCATGGAATCCTGGGAGCTAGAATTCTGGAGGAGGGAGCAGAGGAGGAGGCAGAAGAAGAAGGGATGAGGAGGAGGAGGAGGAGGAGGGGAGGAGGAGGAGGAAATGGAGAAGGAGAGGAGTAGAAGAAGAGGAAGGGGAGGGCGGAAGAGAAACGAGGAAAGGAAGAGGAAAGGAGAGGAAGAGGAGGAGGGATAGAGAGGGAAGAGGAAGAAGAGGGGGAGGTAGAGGAGAAGGAGGAGAAGAAGAGAGGAAGAGGAGGAGGGGAGGGAACAGGAAGAAGGAAGAGGAGAAGGTGAGGAAAAGGAGAGTAAAAAAAGAGGAGGAGAGGAAGAGGAGGAGGGGAGGGAGGGAAGAGAAAGGTTAGAAGGAGGAGGAGGAGGAGGTGGAGAGGATGAGAAGGAAGAGGAGGAGGGGGAAGGAGGGAGAAGAAAGAAGAGGAGGAGAGCAAGAGGAGGAGGAGAGGAAGAAGGAAGAGAAAGGAGAGCTGGAGGAGAGGAGGAGAAGGAGAGGAAGAGAGGAGTGAGGGAAAAAGACAAGAAGGAGGAAGGGAGGGGATAAGAGGAGGGGAATTCTAGGAATTGAAGTCCACCTGTCTTAAACTTGCCCAAGACTTTGAAGAACCCTTTTCTGGAGGCTGCTCATCTTCCCGTTGTGCTTATGTTTAAAAAAAAAAAAAAACAAGAATAAAGAAACCCAAGGGAAAACCTCAAACACAGAGTCCTTGACTTACAATCAGTCACTTAGTGACCGTTCCCAGTTAAAACTGATCTGAAAAGGAGGGCTGTCCAACTCAGATTTGAAATTCTGAAGGTCAAGCTGAAAGAACCGGATTTGTTTAACAACCGTGTTGCTAACTTGACAACGGCAGTGATCGGCTTAACGGTAGCAAGAAATGTCATCCTATGGGGCAAACCACATTGTGTAAAGGTCTTGCTTAGCAACAGAAATGTTGAACTCAATTGTGGTCATAAGTCGAAGACCACCTGTATATTTAACCGAAAGACACCGAAACCCACCTTAGACAAATGCTATTGTTCCAAGTTTGTCATTTAATGACCCCGTAATCCTTTTGCGGGGTGGAGATGGAACAACTGAATGGAGCTGAGTGTTTACTGGCTGGATGCTCTTCCTGTCGCCAATGTGGAGTTTTGTTCAGCAGATAAATATACCCATTGTGAGAGAGAAATATTAGCCTCTACCTACCCTTTTCCACTGAAAATAAGACCCAACTGGAAAATAAGCCCTAGCATGATTTTTCAGGATGCTTGTAATATAAGCCCTACCCTGAAAATAAGCTCCAGTTAAGATTGTCAGCCAGATAAACACATTTGGAACCGTATTTCCCTGAAAATAAGCCCTATTTGGAAAATAAGCCCTAATGAGTCTTTTGGAGCAAAAATTAATATAAAACCCGGTCTTATTTTTGGGGAAATATGGTAGGATCGAGCTCACAGCCTCCTGATTGTCAGGCAAGAGCTCTACCTCTAGGCCACATCACATGTTATTGTTCCAAGTGTTTGTTTGTTTTTTTAATTATTTGCTCAATTTCTCTTCTTCCCTCTGGTTCATCTTGTCTGGCAGGGCGCACCATGTATGTCATACCCTACAGCATGGGCCCACTTGGTTCGCCACTGTCCAAAATCGGAATCCAGCTGACAGATTCGGCCTACGTGGTCGCCAGCATGCGAATCATGACGCGAATGGGGGCGGCGGCCCTCCGCACGCTCGGGGACGGGGAGTTCGTCAAATGCCTGCATTCGGTGGGGCGGCCCTTGCCCCTTAGTGGTAAGCCTCCCACGCCCCCAACCCTTTGCTGGGCAAGGGAAGTCCCTCTTTTTCGGGGTTTCATGAACTCTCCGTTCGTGTGACAAGGAAGTGACATATGAAGACGCGACGAATGAAGTCATGTTGGTGCAAAATGAGACTAGCAAAGAGGTTGCGTAAAAAAAAAAAAAGAATAGTTATTTGTCTGAATTTGGCACCCTCTAGTCTAGTCTAAATGGATAGGCCTGTGTTTCTCAATCTTGTCTCCTTTAAGATGCGTGGACTTCAACTCCCAGAATACCTCACCCAGGATTCTAGGAATTGAAGTCCACCTATCATAAAGCATGTTGGCAGAGGAATTCTGTGAGTTGAAGTCCACCCATATTAAATCACACTGGCTGGGGAATTCATCCATCTTAAAGCATGCTGGCTGAGGAATTCTGGGAGTTGCAGTCCACACATCTTAAAGCAGAGGTCTTCAAACTTGATAGCTTTAAGACTTGTGGACTTCAACTTCCAGAATTCCTCCTCCAGTCATGTTAGCTCAGGAATTCTGGGAGTTGAAGTCCACAAGTCTTAAATTTGCCAAGTTTGAAGACCCTTGTCTTAAAGCATGCTGGCTGAGAAATTTTGGGAATTTCAGTCCACGTATCTTAAAGCATGCTGGCTGGGGAATTTTGGGAATTGAAGTCTATGCATCTTAAAGTCGATAAGCTTGAGAAGCAATGGAGATAGACCTTTTCCAAGTGTTTGAACTATTCTGAACTATTATTACTAAGAATTCTGGCTATGCCCATAATTATGATGCCCATAATTTCCAGATGTATGAAGCTGGAGGACATTATTCCAGAGGTTTGGGACTTCAGCTCCCAGAATTCCTTGTGTCTGGCTCCAGCACATGTTCGAAACCTGAGTCTACCGGTGGTTCAAACATGCTGGAAGGCTGTTAAAATCCCCGACCTTCGGTCCCTAACATGGCATCTTCTTCCTTTGCAGAAGACCTCGTGAACAACTGGCCTTGCAATCCGGAGAAGACCTTAATCGCCCACGTGCCGAACCGCCGAGAGATCGTGTCTTTTGGCAGCGGCTACGGGGGCAACTCCCTGCTGGGGAAAAAATGCTTTGCCCTCCGCATCGCTTCTTGCATCGCCAAGGATGAAGGCTGGCTGGCCGAGCACATGCTGGTGAGGGGAGGGGAGGGGCTGTGAGATTGAAAGCGGGGGGGAGGCTGCCTGGGTCTGCATGGCAACGTGCGGGGAGACCCCCGCGACCTCAGTCACTTGGAGAACTGCCTCGTTGTGACTTCTGAAAGCGGAAAGGGGTAGCTTTGATGGCGTGGCTTCAGAGGCCATCTTGATTTTTTGCCCTCATCTCTGTAAAAACCCCTTGGAATTGGTCAGAGGCAAATATTTTACAGGCCGTGTTCGACTTACGGCCACAATTTCCGTTATGGAGAGAGACAGGGGGCAAGTGAATATTCTTATCGCCATGGTTAAGCGAATCACGGCGGTTGCTAAGTTAGCAACACGGTCGTTAAGCAAATCTGGCTTCCCTGTCGACTTGGCTTGTCAAAAGGTCGCAAAAGGGGAATTACGTGATCCCGTGGACGCTGAGACTGTCATAAGTATGTGCCAGTTGCCAAGCACCTGAATTTTGAACCCAGGGATTCTGCAATGGTTGTAAGTGTGAGAGATGGCCATCAGTCACTTTTTTTCAGTGCTGCTATAACTTTGAACAGTCACTAAACAAAATGGTTGAAAGTCAAGGACTTCTTGTACTCCGAAGCTGCAAACTCTTTTTTTTCTCATCTGCAACTTGGAGGGGAAAGTCAAGCACCCTTTGCACTTTCTGCACATGCTCAGAGGCACTCTTTCCCTCAATCAGTGACTGATCTACTGGGTTATGGAGATTCTCTGTTATCCAGGTCATGGTCGTTGCAAGGGTGTTTTTTTTTTCCAAAGGCAACTGAAGTTTCTTTGTTTTTTTTTTCTTGAAGAGGTTTCGCTTCTCACCTGAGAAGTTCTTCAGTTCAGCTGGAGGAGAACTTGAACTGAAGAAACCGAAGAAGCTTCCCGCATGGGAAGCAAAATCTCTTCAAGGAAAACAAAAACAAAGAAAGCCCAGTTGTCTTTGGAAAAATAGCACCGTTGCGATCTACCGGTTTACTTGTTCCAATCTGCTGTCAAAAGCCCACCTAACTACCAAGCAAGTCAAGCGTGCAGCCCGTGTGCCCTGGGGCACAGCTGCTGTGCCGGGTGTGCAAAATTGGAGGAAGCCCTTTTGGAGTTTTGGGGCTGGGCGCAAATGGTTGCCCGGTGCAGCAGCAGCGTTGGAGTGGGCGGGGGGCAAGGTTCGATTGCTGGGATCGAGCCAGTGGGGGGGGGGGGGGGGGGGGGGGCAGAAAATTTGGTCCATCAGGCCCCTGGCCAAAGGACAGAGGCTGTTTGCATTGTCTGGGAGTGATATTTAATGAGCAAACATTAATTGGTTAATGAGTGACAGACGCTGGCTGAAACCTAACCAGATTGGGACACTTTGACGCAGGGAAGAGACAGCCGAGGTTGGAGCGGGGGGGGGGGAGCATTGTCCTGAGACTGGGAGGACTGGTGGGTGGTGGTGATAGGCAGGAGTTGCTGGTTTGGTGAAAACAGCTCCCCAGCCATCTCAGTGGGCAGGACTGCAATGCCCATTGTGCCCAGCCAGCATGAAGATGGGGGAGGATGGGAGCCGTAGTCCGGGCTGCAGCAGTATTCCAGCTTTAGGAAAGACCTATGGGTGTGCAAAAGGCTGTCAGAATGAGAAGGGAGATTTTGGGGTACAATTCGCTTGTAGATTTGCCAGGATTCAGAGCTGGCGTTTGTAAATTAGGTTCACATGAATGAATGAATGAATTCATTAATTCATCACTTTTCTGATTTTTTTTTTTTTAACCAGGAAGTTGAATTTTTAACAAATCGAACAGGCTGGGTTTTCATGAGGGGAAAATAATAATCCGGATTAACTTTAATAATATTATTTTTATTAAAAATAATTTTAATTTTGACAAGACTCATGACAGTCATGAAGGGTTTTTTCCTCAAGTGTGTATTGTACATAAGCGAGCACGGAATTGGAATTAAAAAAAATATATATTTATTTTTAAATGTGCAATGGTGAAAGCGTTTTCCCACCGATCCCCTTCCCAAAGAACAAACTTGAATATTATTTCCTTTAATGGTAAAAGCAGTGACCATGAAGGTTAACATTTTAGTTATGGCGTAGAGTAAAAGATTAATTTAAGATGGAAAGGCTGGAATCGAAGAGAAACGAACAGCTCTGTTTTAAAAAGACCCAAATCTCAGTTGAGTGCAAATTCTCCAAGAAAAATAAATCGTATTGCATTGCCTTGTGATTTCCTTCTTATCAAAGGTAAATGTGCAAAAACAGGGTGAAACTTTTCCTCAGACTGTGTTAAAAATCAGTATTAAGTTCAGTATTCATCTTGCTTGGCCACTTAAAGTGCAGACTTCAACTCCCAGAATTCCCCAGCCAGCGATGTTCTTCTTCCTCTGCTGAATTCTGGGATTTGAAGTCCATGTGTTTTAAAATGGCCATGCTTCAGAAAACTGTTTCACTCACTTAACTTTACCCACTTAATGATACAGGTAGTCCTCAACTTATGACCACAAATTGAGCCCAACATTTATGTTGCCAAGTGAGAAATTTCCTAAGTGAATTTTGCCCCTTTGTATGACTTTTCTTCTCACGTTTGTTAAGTGAATCACTGCACTTCTTAAGTTAGTGACATGGTTGTTAAGTGAATCAGGCTTCAGGTTGTCAGGTCACAAACGGGGATCACATAAATCCCGGGGACACTGCGACCGTCACAAATGTGAATCGGTTGTCAAGCATTCAAATGTAAATCATGAGATCGCTGTGATAGTCTTAAGTGTGAAAAGTGGTCATAATTCACTTTTTCCATGCTGTTGCAACTTTGAATGGTCACTAAGTGAACTGTTGCAAGTGGAGGACTATCTGTAAATGCAGCCAGCAGGATTTTTTCGATGGGTGGATTTCATGCCAGCTGGGGAATTCTGAGAGTTGTAGTCCACCCATCTTAAACTTGTCAAGGTTGAAGAGCACTGAGTTAACATTTCTGGACTGGGAAACTGGGAGACAGTGGTAACGGAGAGATGCAGAAGCTTCTAATTACCGTTTCCCCAAAAATATGACCTACCCCCAAAATAAGCCCTAATTAAGACTCCACCCACTCCAGAGTACACGGGTAAAAATTAAGCTAGGGTGGGGATGGATGGTGGGGGAGCTGCCCTACTACTTACCTTTGGACAGTTGTAGCCAGGCCTCGCACACCCTGACACCTGCCTTGCCGTCCCGCTTCTTCTGCAGCCAGCAAGGCCGGCAAGGCTTTCCTGAAGGCCTCTGTAGCTGATAAGAAAGTTCTGGAACGATCCGGAGCTCTGTTATCAGCTGCAGAGGCCTTCAGGAAAGCCTTGCCGGCCGCAGAAGAAGTTCCTAAAGGCTTCTGACAGCGAAAAGGAGGCCAGGGGTGACACACACAAGTGAGGTTAGTCAGTGGATGACATCCCCCGAAAATAAGACCTGGTGCCTTTTTTTGGTGGCAAATATATGTATATATATAAGACAGGATCTTATTTTCAGGAAAACACGGTATGATGGTTACCTGGATTTTTGTAATCTGCGCCTGGTGGCTGAGAAGGGCAAACCTAGTTTATTGCAAAGAAGAGTTTTGATCTCTTAAGCTTGGCGCCTGTCAACTTGTGGCACGCTTCCCTCTACGGTTTCTTGCAGATTCTGGGACTCACCAACCCAGAAGGAAAGAAGAAATATGTGGCGGCCGCCTTCCCGAGTGCGTGTGGAAAGACCAATTTAGCCATGATGAATCCTACCTTGCCAGGCTGGCGCGTGGAATGCGTTGGGGACGATATTGCCTGGATGAAGTTCGACAGCGAAGGTGACTTGGGTGCTGGGGCTCAGAGGAAGGCAGGGAGGTGTGTGTGTTTTAGGAAAAAGCAGGTAGTTCTCGACTTATGACCTCGGTGGGACTTCTGTCACTAAGCAAAGCGGTGATACAGCAAAGAGAACCAGTTTGGACCAAAACTCGGTGCCCATTCTGGCAACAATATAAACTGAGTTTGCAATCCCCCCAGAGGCCCTTAGGGCATGAATTTGGCTCCCAGGTAGCCCAAGGATTTGAGCCTGACTTTACGACAGGGATAAGGAGATCCGGAGGGTATTGCGGTGAGGAATAACCACCTGCTGGGGTTTCTTTCCCACATATAGGTTGCCTGCGTGCCATCAACCCTGAGAACGGCTTTTTCGGGGTAGCCCCAGGAACATCCACTCGGACCAACCCGAATGCCATGCACACCATCCAACGTAACACCATCTTCACCAACGTGGCCGAGACCAGCGAAGGCGGGGTCTACTGGGAGGGCATCGATCAGAGGATTCCGGAAGGGGTCACCATCAGCACCTGGCAAGGAAAACCTTGGAAACCAGGTGAGGTCAGCGGTTGGATGCAAAGTGCGCGTGCGTGTGTGCGCGGAGCATTCCGAAACCGCCCATTTACAGCTCGACTTACAGCGCCTGTACAACAGCTGGGGAGTGGCAATCCACTGTGCCGTCCCTCAGCCGAGCTGCAAAACTGCAGAAATATAGGACAGAACAAGGGCAGGGGCAGGTAGCCATGGCCAAACGATCACCGTTCGTACCGGTTCGTTCAAACCGGTGCAGACTGGCGGCAGCACACGCCTGAGACCAAAGGATTCTGATTGTCCATTAGGGCAAAGAAGGAGGTTGAAGAATTACCTCGCGGATCAAATTTGAGTATGGGCATCTCAAGTCTTCCGTGTCCCCCTGTGATATGTGAGATAAAGTGTTCTTTTAAAAATACATAGCAATACTTGCTCCATATTTACCCTTCAGACGAACTAGGCTGGAGTTATGTATAAAAGTTTCGATTTTCATGAAAACGTGTTTGCTCTAAATTTTGCAAGAACATATTTTGGCAGGGCACATAAGGCTTTCTGTCAGGGTCATATGGGCTTTTTGGAGGGTCACGATGTTTAGTTTCAGGTTAGAAACAAATATTGCCAGAATGGACGTAGATTATGCAAAGGATTCTATAAATTAACTGGAATTAGAAGGGGAATAACGATGGACATTATTAAAAACAGACCTAAACCCACCTCTGATCGTGACCAATGAGAATGTAGAATGGGGGGAACAGGGGTAGGCTTTAGAAAAGGTACACACACACACACACACACACACACACACACACACACACAGAGTATATTTGTTCATGCATCTCTTGTCAGATTGATTTACTGGATTTTTATCACATTCCCTCTTTTTTCCCCCCAGGGGACCCACAACCTGCTGCTCATCCAAATTCCCGCTTTTGTGCCCCAGCTCGGCAGTGTCCCATTATGGATCCGGATTGGGAATCCCCCCAAGGGGTCCCCATCGATGCCATCATCTTTGGGGGCAGGAGACCGGCAGGTAGGAGCTGTGGTCCCCCCAACCTTGTCTCCCTAGACCACCTGATATTCTCGGGATCACCTCTTGGTGTCTTTTTCCCCTCTCCAGGGGTGCCTTTGGTGTACGAGGCCTTCAACTGGCGCCATGGGGTCTTCGTGGGCAGCGCCATGCGGTCGGAGTCCACGGCGGCGGCTGAGCACAAAGGTGGGGGCTCCGGGTTCGAGATCGGCTGTGATTTTCCATCATTTGGAAGGAGGGGGCGTTCCTCCCTCTTGCTAAGTCGAGACTGCTGGGCCAGAAAAAGTTAATCCAATAATGATGGGGGGGAAAATGAATTAATCTATCTATATAAAAGCGGAATACCACTCACACATCATCACAAAATCTCCAGAACCGTAAAGCCTACAAACTTGAAATTGGGCCCGTATGTTCCTCTTGGCTTCTAGGGGCTCCCTAAGAAAGGATTTTTCGAAATGACCATCAGAGCATTTAGAGTATTTCCTATGTGATTATTATTATTATTATTAACACGCTCTGATGCTAAGGAGTCCTACTCCCCCTCCCCACCTGAAAAGAAATCTCCTCCAAATGCAAAACACAAGCAGAGGAGTTTCAGTTTCCTAGCACCAAGCAGTTTTAGTACAGAACAGTTGAGCTAAGCCATGCCCAAGCTCCTTGCTGTCTCCTTCTCGCTCACACAGCAAATGCTGTTTCAGTTTCCAAACAGCCCTCAACTCTCTCTCACACACACTGACAGGATGCTAGCCAGATAAATACCAATGGATGCTGGTAGGCAGAGGCACAATTCCTCCGCCCCCCAACCCCCTTATTTTCCTCCCAAAAAACTAAGCTTGATCACATAGTTTCGTAGCGAAGCACGGTTATCGAGCTAGTTGATTAATATTGGAAGCTTCATCATTTTAGCCAGCACTTCGCCTTTTAAATGAGGTGTGTGTGTGTGTGTGTGTGTTTACACTGAAAGGGGCTGGAAACGTATCTATAGGTAGTCCTCGACTTATAGCCATTTGTTTAGTGACCGTTTGATGCTAAAATGGCACTGAAAGAAGCGGTTTACTTATGACTCTTGCAAAGCAACCTCACAGTCCATGACCAAAATTTGATTGCTTGGCAACTGGCATGCATATTACAACAGTCGCAGTGTCAGAGGTCACATGATCACACTTTGCAACCTTCCCAGCTAGCTTCCGGCAAGCAAAGTCTATGGGGGGTGGGGGGGGGGGGTGAAACGACGACGGCCGGATTCACACATCCCTTAATAACTATGGGGAAGAAGGGTCCTTGGTGCTGTCTGAGTTGGGTGGTTTTCTTGAAGATGTTTCATAACATCATCAGTGCTAGAAGGGAATAATGGGGGAGGAGGAGTGGAAGGGTCAGAGAAGAAAGAGGAGGAGGAGATGGATGGATAGATGGATGGAGAAAGAGGAGAAGGTGGGAGAAGAAGAGGAGGAGGAGAAGGTAAAGGAGTTGGAGGAGGAGGACTGTGGGGTCCTTGGTGCTCTCTGAGTTGGATGGTTTTCTGGCAGACGTTTCATGACCTGACTAGGGAACATCATCAGTTATAAAGGGAGTGTGGGGTTTAGGGAGGAGGAGCAGGAGCAGGAGGAGGGCTATGGGGTCCTGGGTGCTCTCTGAGTTGGATGATTTTCTTGCAGACGTTTCATGACAAATAGAGAACATCAATGCTAGAATGGATGGGGTTTGTGGAGGAGGAGGAGAGGAAGGGTCGGAGAATAAAGAGGAGGAGGAAAGGAAGGGATGAAGAAGGAAGAGAAGATGGAGGAGGAGAAGGAAAAAGAGAAGTGGAATGGATGGAGAAGGAGGACTGTGGGGTCCTTGGTGCTCTCTGAGCTTGGTGGTTTTCTTGCAGACATTTCATGACCCATCTAGGTAACATCATCAATGCTGGAAGGGAATAGGATTTATGGAGAGGAGGAGGAGGAGGAGGGGGAGGAGAATGGACGGAGAAGGAGAAGAGTTGGAGGACGATGACTGTAGGGTCCTTGGTGCTCTCTGAGCTTGGTTGTTTTCCTGCAGACGTTTCATGACCCATACTAAGAACATCATCAGTGCTAATTTGCAAGGATTCGCTTAACAACCATGGCAAAAAAAAAGTCATGAAATGGCTTGCGATTCACTTAACCATCACTTTGCTTAACAGGCTTAATTTTCCGTGTTTGGGAGCCATCAGAGGTGGTATTCAGCCGGTTCTGGAGAACCGGTAGCGGACATTTTGAGTAGTTCTGAGAACCGGCCAATACCACCTCTGACTGGCCCCGCCTGCATCTATTCTCCGCCTCCCGAGTCCCAGCTGATTGGCTGGGTCTCCTTTGGTTGCCCTGCACAGAAGAACGGAGCTGGAAAGCAGGTTAGTGGGGTGGGGAGGGAATGGGGATTTTGCTGTACCCTTCCCTGCCATGACCACCAAGCCACGGCCACAGAACCGCTAGTAAACATGTTTGAATCCCACCACTGGGAGCCATGATTGTTCACCTCTGTTGTCCCTTTTCTCTTCCCTCTTCTCTCTCCCGTGGCTCCTCAGGCAAGGTCATCATGCACGACCCGTTCGCCATGCGTCCGTTCTTCGGCTACAACTTCGGCCGCTACCTGGAGCACTGGTTGGGCATGGAAGGGCGGAAGGGCGCCCGCCTTCCCAAGATTTTCCACGTCAATTGGTTCCGGAAAGATGCCGCCGGGAACTTCCTGTGGCCAGGCTTCGGGGAGAATTCCCGAGTCCTGGACTGGATCTTCCGCCGCGTGGACGGAGAAGAAAGCGCGAAGGAGACGCCCATCGGGTATGTCCCCAAGGAAGGTGCCTTAGACCTCTCAGGCCTAAGCCAGGTGAGCTACTCGGAGCTCTTCTCGCTGCCCAAGGAATTCTGGGAACAAGAGGTCCGAGAAGTGAGACAATACCTGACGGAACAAGTGCCTGAGGATTTACCCAAGGAAGTCTTGAAACAGCTGGAAGCCTTGGAGACCCGGGTGAAGAAAATGTGAGGAACCTCAACCGTAGAAGACGTCCCACAAAAGACCAAAGATTCTTCCCCTGTTTTTCGGAGCGGGGGGAGGTGGAGGGGGGGAGAGGAGATATCAGGGGCCTTGTTTACACAAATATCCATTCCTCTTTTCTTACCAGCTAAGTCGCTTTAGTCTCATATCACGTTTCCAAGGTCAGCTTGAGGGCCACCCAACGTTCTTTGGGCGTGCCTTCCTTGACAGCGGAGTCACCTTGCTTTGATACCTCTGTTTCGCTCCCTTCCTCCGTGGCGGTCCTTCTTTCAGCTCTCTGTTTCGCTCCCTTCCTCCGTGGCAGTCCTTCTTTCAGCTCTGGGAAAACGGGATTGGGGGGGGGTGGACTTTCATTTTACGACATCATAATGGATGGTGTGGTGCCTTCTGAGAAATTGATTCTTCTCCGCACTTCTTCTCCGTAGCTGTTCCAGAGGGGCTTTTGGGTCTTTGGCCAGCTTTCTTTTTTCATTAAAAAAAAAAACTTGGGAGAGAGGGAATAAGGAAAGATGGGGGTTGGGGGGGGAGACATTTAAAATGAAAGCAGAAGGTAATTGCAAGATTTATCTCCCATGCTTATATTTCTGGAGGCAGAAACAGAGTTATGCATGAGACCTGCTCAGGGTTATTGTGATCAGGGCAACAGTTCCATTGAAACATAGCACAAAATAACAGTTGGAAGGGAACTTGGAGGTCTTCTAGTCCAGCCCCCTGCACGGAAAGCATGAAATCCTTTACCATTTCAGACAAACGATTGTCCCAGTCTCTTCTTTAAAATCTCTCTGTTGGAGCAGCCACAACTTCTGGGGGCAAGGAGTTCCACAGGTTAATTGTTCTCACTGCCAGAAAATTTCTCTTTAGTTCTAAGTTGCTTCTCTCCTTGATTAGTTTCCACCCATTGCTTCTTGTCCTGCCTTCAGGTGCTTTGGAGAATAGCTTGACTCCCTCTTCTTTGTGGCAGCCCCTCAAATATTGAACACTGCCATCACATCACCCCTAATCTGAGCAACATTAACCCCAGATTGCCCAGCTCTTAAGCAAACCAGAATTGTGTGGTTATATGTCGGAGTTTTCTTTCTATTAATTAAAAATAAAACAGTCCAGATCCATTTGTATTTTCAATCCTGTCTCACAGTACTGCAGCATTCCTACCAACTTTAGAAAATTTGTCCGTGTTTTAAAACATGGGAGGGCACAAATTTTGATTTTTATAACATCGATAAAAATTGTCAATGGGAAGAGTGGTGAGCCCAAAGACAAAAGTCTAGAGAAATTACATGATTTGCTAACCAAGTCTTGCGAAGTGGACCTAGAATAATAAAAGATGAATAATTTTTCTCCTTTCAAACAAGCTAAATTTACATTGGCTTGAGGAGTATCAATAATGTTGTCGAAATGTTTAACTTGTCCATTCCTCTGACGAGAATGCAACTTGGGTGCTATGACTCTTTCATCAGTGTGGCCTTAGAGTAAAAAGCTACCTTGTAGGATTGTTGTGAGGACTAATAAGATGGGGAGTAAGATAATGCCATTATTACCATCCTTGGATGGGATTCGGATCAGGGTGAGGGATTGGTGCCTTTTAATATTGCATTGCTATTGAAATCATGGGAATCCTGTTTAGATCAAGTTTTTCATAACATCATGGATGCTTCAAGATTTGTGGAGTTCAACTCCCAGAATTCCCCAGTCAACATGGCTGACTGAGGAATTCTGGAAGTTGAAGTCCAAACATCTTAAAGCATCCATGTTTGAAAGACACAAGTTTAAATTGCATTGTTTTCATGACATCACAACAATGCAAGCAATAGCCAATGAAGAAGTTTTAGCCTAATGAATATGTTAAATCCAGCGAGGGGAATAAATTATAAAGTGTGCATGCTCCTTAAACGCTAAAATGATGAACCTGTTAACACTTAATCAGCTGAGAATGTTAATAGGTAGCTATTACATGGAGCCTTTAATTGGTGCTCCATGTGAAAGTCAATTTTCTTCTTACTTGTCTACATTCCTTGTCTATCTAGATTACATATAACGGGTTTATATGTCTTGCCTTTTTAAAATTGCCAATAATGTGCTGTATTTTACCATTGTGATGAGAAGGACACACTGCCAAAGAAACAAGAAAAGACCAAGAAAAATAAAAATGGTCAATATTTTTGGGTAGGGTTGTTACGACAGCATTTTGACCAGAAACAAGACAGCATCTGCAAACAAACAAACAAATAAACAAACAAACTAGAAAAGTTACAAGATTAACTGAAATTTAATTGATGTGCGTGGCAGGGAAGATTCTGAAACAGAAAAAAAAGAAAATTTTATCAATAATAAACACAAATAAGAATAATAATTGGTGGTGGTTGTTTTTTTTTAAGTGTTATTCCAAGTCACCGATGTGGTTTGTGTGTATTTGTGAGTGTCTGCAAGGGAGCTATACAAACTGGAGCAGAAATACTTATCCCAACAGATGTGTGGCCTTCAACTCCCAGCCAAGTTTGGAGACCTCTGCTGTAAATATTGTGTGGAGCATATGTATGATTTGCAGAGTTGGGGAAGAAGGCTGTCTGGCAGTGTGTGTGTCGGTCTATGTATGTTTGTGTTGTGTGTCTATAGATTACAGATTAACAAGAGTCGTTAGGGACCTTGTAGGTCATCTAGTCCAACCACCCCCTCCACCCAAGCAGGAGATCCTACACCATTTTTGACAGATGGGCAGTCCAGTCTCTTCTTGAAGGGATGAACTGCATAACTGGATAGAAGCATCTCTGTCAAACAGACAACAAATGGTCAAAATTGGGAGTGTCCTATCAAATTCTATATCTGTCAACAGTGGTGTCCCCCAAGGCAGTGTTCTAGGACCAACTCTCTTCATACTCTACATAAATGACCTCTGTGATCATATTAAGAGCAACTGCGTTCTTTTCGCTGATGATGTAAAGCTGTTCAATACCACAGGCAATACTGCTACCCTTCAAAAAGATCTTGACTATGTATCAGAATGGTCAAAAATGGCAACTTCAAATCTCAACAAATAAATGCTCTGTCTTACCTAATGGCAAAAAAAATCAGAAAATAAAATACAAGCTGAATAGTCAGTTGATGATCCAAGCTCTGTAAAGGACCTTGGAATACTCATCTCTAATGATCTAAGTGCTAGAGCCCACTGTAACTACATAGCCAAAAAGGCATTAAGAGTTGTTAACCTAATCCTACGTAGCTTTTTCTCTGGCAATATCACACTACTAACCAGAGCATACAAAACATTTGCTAGACCAATACTCGAATACAGCTCATCAGTCTGGAACCCACATTACGTATCTGATATTAGCACAATTGAGAAAGTCCAGAAATATTTCACAAGAAGAGTTCTCCACTCCTCTACTTGTTGTAGAATATGTCACCAGACTTGAAATTCTAAACGTAGAAAAACTTGAATTACGCCGTTTTTGATCTGTGCTTTAGGGCAGCCCTGTAATAGTCCTCTATTTACAACAGTTCATTTATTGACTTTCAAAGTTACAACGACATTGGGAAAAAGTGACTTATGACTATCCCAAGTGTCCCCATGATAAAATTCGGAAGGTTGGCAACTGGTTCATGCTTATGAAGCATATGAATTTTAATGTGTGGAAAAGGGTCCTGTGTCACTATTTTTAACTGCCGTCGTAACTTTGAACAGTCACTAAACGAATTGTTGTAAGTTGAGGATTTCTCATAGTTTACTAACTGGTTACAATGGCACTAAAAAAAAGTATCTCATGGCCTTTTTTCACACTTACAACCATTGCAAGCTCCTACGGTGCTGTGATTAAAAAAAGTCGGATACTTCGCAACCATCCAGCATTTGAGATGGTTGCAATATCCCAGGGTCATGGGATAGTCTTTCATGAGTGGTGTGGTGGCCTAGAGGTAGAGCTCTTGCCTCACAATCAGGAGGCTGTGAGTTCGATCCTAGACAGAGGCAGATATTTCTCTCTCTGGGCACGCTGGTAATATATCTGCTGAACAAAACTCTGCATTGGTGACAGGAAGGGCACCTAGCCAATAAACACTCAGCTTCATTCAGTTGCCCAGACTGCACCCTGCAAAGGATTATGGGGTCACTTAACGGTAGCAAGAAAGGTCACAAAAAAGGGGCAGAACTGCTGTCTTGTTCAACAACAGAAAAGTTGGGCTTAATTGGGGCCATAAGTCAAGAACTATTTTAATATCCTGTCTCAAGTGCTTGATCAGGATAAGGGGAAGAAGACAATTATCTATAGAATTGTACTTTCAAATCACTATTGTTGTGAATCAATAAAAGTTACTAGCATAAATGCAAATCAGGGTTTGGAAACCCGCACGCCTGATTGGCCCTTATACAACAACTAGGGATTGGTCCATAACTAGTCTCTGATTGGCCACTATTTTGACACTTCTCATTGGTTATAAGTTTGAACTTGTTGCACATATCATTGGTTAATGAGGTAGCAGATAACCCTATAAAAGGGTTGCTGTTGCCCATAGCCTCGCTCTGTTCTGTTCTATTTACGATTATTAAAGAGTTGAAGTCACTGGTCAGATGTCTGGTCTCCATTATTTCCCAAACTTAACACTGGCGACGAAGGTGGGATCCGGAGACCGAAGAGTTAACTGAGTTACAGAGCAACCAACAGAGCACGTGGTCGAACACGCACCATCAACGGCAACATGGCCAGCGGTGCCGTACCACCCGCTCCATTCAACCCAGAAACCGAAGACTGGGAGGCATACATGGATCGGTTCCAGATGTTTCTGGAGACCAACAATTTGAAAGATGCAACAGCCGGCAAAAAAAGAGCTATCTTTCTAACTCACTGCGGGCCTACCGTGTTTAAAATGGCAAAATCGCTTGCCAAGCCAGCCGAAGTAAAAGCGATGGACTGGGACGTCCTCGAGCCGTTACTTCGGGCTCACTACGCGCCCACCGTGCCAACCTTAGTCAGAAGGCACGAATATTATCAGAGGGACCAACGGAAAGGCGAAAGCCTTGCCAATTACATCGCGGACCTCCGCAACCTTGGAGGCCTCTGTGGATTCGCCAACTTAGAAGAAGCCCTCCGAGACCGTCTGGTTCTGGGCCTAGAAGACGGCACAATCCAGAGCAAAATTATGGCTAAGGGGGACATCAGCTTCACTGATGCCCTTAAAGAAGCCGCAGCAGCGGAGGAGACCAAGAAGTCGGCCGCCCGAATGCGCCGCACCAACGCACCGCTACGTCAACTCGCCAATGATACCTCGCCTCGCTCAGAGAGACACCCGGTATCGACTCACCACGAAGACCTAGAATCCCCATCAGAAAGCGATGAGGAAGAGGTCAACCGACTCCGAACGGAACGAGACCAGTTCACACAACCCTCATCCCGACCGTGTGCAGGATGTGGGGCGAATCACCCACGATCCAGCTGCAAATTCCTCGACGCAATCTGCCGCAATTGCGGAAGACGAGGTCACATCACAAAGGTTTGCAGAAGCAAACAAAACTCCAAACCCCGACAGGCCGAATGCCAATCTTCAGGATTCTTCGGCACACACCGAGAAAAACAGAACCACTCCTACAGAAACAAGCCGTCCACCACTTCCACCAGGCGTGAAGAAACCAGGCGGGAAGAGACCCACCAAACAATCACCATAGGCCACGCTACATCCCTTGATGCCGGGAAAATCCGAGTAAAGGTCGCCATCGAAAACAAACCGTGCGTGATGGAGGTAGACTCGGGATCTTCCCTCTCGATGGTGTCGTGGAAAACGCTCCAACAGCTCATTCCAACGATTCGCCGCCAAGACCTTAACCCTCAAAGGGTTATACTCAAAGACTATCAGGGCAACCAAATTCCCGTCGTCGGGTCCCGCAGATTCCAGATCTCTTTTAAGGACCGTACCGTCGCCCTACCACTGACTGTCGTGGACCGCGACAGGCCTAGTCTTTTAGGCCTTCAATGGTTCAGGCCGCTCGGAATCACTGTAGCCGGAGTCCACCGAGCCGAGAGCAGCGATTGGGAGGAGGCACTCGTGCAAGAATTCCAAGACGTTTTCGCGAACGGACTAGGCAAGTACAAGGGGACCCCGATCTCGTTTAACTTGAACCCTGAGATAGCACCCATCCGCCTTAAGCCGCGTCGGGTGCCATTCGCCTTGAAGCCTAAAATCGACGAACAACTCGATAAGCTAATAGCGCAGGGCGTGCTAGAACCCACCGACCATGCCCGCTGGAAAACCCCTATAGTGACGCCTATCAAGCCTGATGGGTCACTAAGAATTTGCGGAGACTACCGGGCCACCTTAAACCACGCACTACAGCAGAGTGCATATCCAGTGCCGGTAGTGCAACACTTGCTCCATTCCCTGGGTGGCGGGAAAGTTTTCGCTAAACTAGATCTAGCCCAGGCGTATCAGCAATTGCCTGTAGATCCGACCACGGCAGAAGCGCAAACTATCGTAACGCATAGGGGCGCATTTAAATGCAACCGGCTCCAGTTCGGGGTAAGCGTTGCCCCCGGAATCTTTCAGAGCCTAATGGAAAGGTTGTTACAAGGGATCAGAGGAGTCGTACCATATTTCGACGATGTACTCATCGCCGCCCCTAACAAAGACATCCTAGAAAAACGACTCAGAGAGGTTTTACGAAGATTCCAAAACGCAGGCCTCAGAGTTAAAAAAGATAAATGCCAGTTATGTACCGAAAAAGTAGAATTTTTGGGATACCTCCTGGACAGCCAAGGAATCCATCCCACTGAAGACAAATTAAGGGCGATTAAAAAGGCCCCCACTCCAAGGAATAAGGCAGACCTACAGGCGTTCCTTGGACTTATCAATTTCTATAATGTCTTTTTACCCCACAAAGCAACGGTAGCTGAACCATTGCATAGACTATTAGACAAAAAAGCAACGTGGGTTTGGGTACAACGGGAACAATATGCATTCCAACAAGTAAAGAAATTGCTAACTTCTGATTCTGTACTTATGCAGTACAACGAGACTCTTCCGCTCACTATCACGTGTGACGCATCACCTTTTGGGGTTGGGGCAATTGTGGCCCACGTATTACCAAATGGAACGGAAGCCCCCATCGCGTTTTTTTCGCGAACCTTAGCTAAAGCTGAAAGAAATTATAGTCAGCTGGACAAAGAAGCTTTAGCTATTGTGGCTGCAGTTAAAAGATTTCATGAATATGTTTATGGCCGTGCGTTTATGATAATTACTGATCATAAACCACTACTGGGGATTATTGCGGGTAATAAACCAACCCCGTATATATTGTCCCCCAGAATGACCCGTTGGTCTGAATTCTTGGCGGCCTACAACTACACCTTGCAACATCGCCCGGGGAAGTCAATTCTCCACGCTGATGCATTGAGCAGAACACCGCTCCCAGACTCTGTTGTAGATCCAGCCCCAACCATCTCAACACTACAGATCGAAGCTCTACATGCACCACCCTTGACGGCTAGAGACATTGCCTTTGAAACGAAACGTGACCCAGTTCTGCAACACATACTACGCTGGGTTGAACGGGGGTGGCCGACGGACCAAATAGCACCGGAATGGGCGCCTTTCAAAGCCCGCCAAACTGAACTGTTTTCCCAAAAAGGCTGTATCTTGTGGGGCGATCGAGTCGTAATCCCCGACAAATTGCAACAAACTGTTTTGGCGGTATTGCATGAAGGACATCCGGGTATCATGCGGATGAAAGCACTCGCACGCAGCTACGCTTGGTGGCCGGGAATCGACAAAAGGATCGAGGCCTGGGTCGCTACTTGTCAATGTTGCCAGGACGTCAGCAACGCCCCGCCTAAAGCAAGCCCAACCGAATGGGAAACTCCGAGGGGACCTTGGTCCCGTATTCATATTAACTTTGCGGGGCCTACCAAAGGACACACTTTCCTTATTACTGTCGACGCCTATTCAAACTGGCTCGAAATCCATCGAATCTACACAACTACAACGGACTCAGTTATCAATAAATTAAACAGACTATTTGCCACACACGGGTTTCCGGACGTGTTGGTCTCGGACAACGGCCCACAGTTTACTGCATTACCCTTTGAACAATATCTTGCTGATCGGGGCATCCGTCATGCGCTAACCTCGCCTGCGCACCCTGCGGCGAATGGACGTGCAGAACGCATGGTACAATTTGTAAAAAAGACCCTTCACAAAATGGAATTTGGCAACATCGACGAGAAAATCAATCGAATTCTCTTGTTGCAGCACATCACTCCCCACAGCGTGACCAACAAAACGCCCGCTGAACTTCTTATGGGAACTTCTTATGGAAACTACGATCGCACCTTGACCGGCTCCACCCCGCATTCGCACCGGAAAAGCCCTTCGGCTCCAGCAGCAAATGCCGGGAATTTAAGGTAGGCGATTTAATCTTTGCCAAAAACTTTTCCGGCGACCCGTTATGGATACCCGCAACCGTTACCCACCTTACCGGGCCTAGATCTTACCGCCTGCTAACGGACGATGGGAGGGTGTGGAAACGCCACATAGACCAACTCCGATCGAGACTACCGCCCAGCGCCCATGACTCCCCGGGTTCACCAACTCAAGGGGGAGGAAATAGCGAGGAAATTGACTTTGATATACCAAATAGCAGGCCAACGGAAACCCTACGGCCCAGCGAAACACCGGAACTTGAAGTGGGGAGGGAGTTGAATTTTTCAGGGAACTTTAATACGGGGGAAACCGAACCGCAAAACCCCGAAGAAACACGGAGTAGCGGAGACAACCACAGTGAAAGCAACACGGAATCACCATGCAGCGATACAGAAATTAATAAAGACCATCCAAACGCTCCACCGGAACCGGACCTTAGACCAAAACCGGTGGAGCCACGAAAATCATCCAGACAGACCAAACGGCCTGTCTATCTTGAGGATTTTATTACAGCTCCCCTCAAACGGAACCCAAGCGGGAGGGGTATTGTGAATCAATAAAAGTTACTAGCATAAATGCAAATCAGGGTTTGGAAACCCGCACGCCTGATTGGCCCTTATACAACAACTAGGGATTGGTTCATAACTAGTCCCTGATTGGCCACTATTTTGACACTTCTCATTGGTTATAAGTTTGAACTTGTTGCACATATCATTGGTTAATGAGGTAGCTGATAACCCTATAAAAGGGTTGCTGTTGCCCATAGCCTTGCTCTGTTCTATTCTATTGTTATTATTAAAGAGTTGAAGTCACTGTCAGATGTCTGGTCTCCATTATTCCCCAAACTTAACACTTGTGTTGTTATGGTTGAAGCTGAAGTATTCATTGATAGGTAGGACATTGCAATGTATGATTTTATATACCATGCTTAAATCAGACCGAAGACGGCGTAATTCAAGGTTTTCTAGTTCTAGAATTTCAAGTCTGGTGGCATAAGGTATTCTACAACGAGTAGAGGAGTGGAGAACTCTTCTTGTGAAATATTTCTGGACTTTCTCAATTGTGCTAATATCAGATATGTAATGTGGGTTCCAGACTGATGAACTGTATTCGAGTATTGGTCTAGCAAATGTTTTGTATGCTCTGGTTAGTAGTGTGATATTACCAGAGAAAAAGCTACGTAGGATTAGGTTAACAACTCTTAATGCCTTTTTGGCTATGTAGTTGCAGTGGGCTCTAGCACTTAGATCATTAGAGGTGAGTATTCCAAGGTCCTTTACAGAGCTTGGGTCATCAACAAGATCTTGACTATTCAGCTTGTATTTTATTTTCTGATTTTTTTTGCCAATATGTAAGACAGAGCATTTATTTGTTGAGATTTGAAGTTGCCATTTGTTTGACCATTCTGATACATAGTCAAGATCTTTTTGTAGGGTAGCAGTATTGTCTGTGGTATTGAACAGCTTTACATCATCAGCGAAAAGAACGCAATTGCTCTTAATATGATCACAGAGGTCGTTTATGTAGAGTATGAAGAGAGTTGGTCCTAGAACACTGCCCTGGGGGACACTACTATTGACAGGTACTGGATTTGATAGGACGCTCCCGATTTTGACCATTTGTTGTCTGTTTGCCAGGAATGCTTCTATCCAGTTATTCAGTTGTCCAGAGATACCATAGGATTTTATTTTTAGGAGTAGTTTGTCGTGTACCACTGAATCAAAGGCTTTACAGAAGTCTATGTAGATTGCGTCTATTGCTTTGCCCTGGTCGAGTTGTGTTGCATGGGCTTTGCAGTATACTTAAGCATCTTTTCCCAGAAGCTCTCATATACTCAGGATGTCTTTCGATTCTATGGGACTACAACACCCTTAATCCACAGCCAAGGCATCCAAAACATTTGGAGAATTCCAATGGGGGAAAATTACAGCAAAAATGTCCATGTCCATCCAGCATTTGCTGGATATGTATAACAAACTTGAGTGCCAGCATGGCATCAAGGAGTTAAGTGTGTACATCACGAATGCACAATTTGTAAAGTTTCACAATTTTGTGCTCCTCTGTTGCAATGGTTGTTGGCAACTTTGGTGTGGACTTCGGCTCCCAGAATTCCTCAGCCAGCGTGAGAGGACTTCAACTCTCAGGATTCCTCAGCAAGCATGGTTAGTTGAGGAATTCTGGGAATTGAAGTCTACTCATGATGGATGGAGAATTCTGGGAATTGAAGTCTACCCTTCTTAAAGTTGCCAAGGTTGAGAAATATTTATTGCAATTTAAAAGATATTTAAATACGTAAGCAGCTAATAATGACGGTATGCTTCCCTGATAAGAGTTTTATCAACAACCGCCACAACGTCACCTGACTCACTATTGTCCAATGAAAGAGCGAGAAAGTTCCCCTAGAGCCCACCTCCTACCTATTTCTCCGACTACAGCGTTTCCACGGAAGCTGTCGGTCAAACTCAAGAAAGCCAATCCGACAGCAACATCCCCGCCCATCGCCCGCCTTCCGTCCGTATTTTGCACCCAAAGCGGTGACGCGTTTTACCTTATCACTTAGTTTACAGAGGGGGCGGGAGGAGGAAAGGTCATAGCAACCAATCAAAGCAGGGCAGTCCCCATTTTAAAGCCTGATGTGAACCACGTGAATCAAGTGGCGGCTAATCATCTTCGCAGCCGGCTAGCCCCGCCCCGCCCCGCCCCCTCCAGACGGGTTCAAGCGGCAGCACTCTAAGATGTAAACAAGGCCTCGCACTCCGACCGTGAAGAGGGTGAGGAGGTTCTCGCGCTCAACGCGGGTGGTGATAGAGGAGAAAGCAGCCAAAGGAAGAGCGGGAGGCATTTTATTGGCCGACTAAAACTACCCCGAGGAGGGGGTGAGTGGTCGAAGGGGGGAAACAGCATGAGGGCGCCCTAAAATAAAAACAAAAACAACGCGGACAAGAAGGGGCAGCCGGGCAAGCCCCCCAATATGGCGCGCGCTGATTGGAGGAGCGTGGCCCGAGGGCGTCTCCCATTGGCGAATTGCTGGCCACGTTCTAAACAACCTGGTTTTCGATTCGTTGAGTGGGGTGTGCTGTTGAACGTAGGTGAAAGGTTAGAGAGGGGGCAATTGCCCCTGAGAGGCCCCCCAGGAATGAGGGTTGTTTACTTAGGGGAGCCCGTCAGCCTTGAATGCTGGGATTTGAACACGGGTATGGCAGGGTGGGGTGTGGGGGCCAGAACAGGGACCCTCCTGAAGTCACTCCCAAAGTGCTAGTCCTTATTAAGAAAGAGACTAGGATGGGCTTGGAGGAAGGCCGCCCTGTCTCCTCCTCCTCCTCTTTCACAACCATCTCCTTTCTGAACGCCAGGAGGGGCAGTGTGAGTGTTGGGCCAAGCTGGAGAATGTCCTAAGCTATGGGCTCCCGCAGCAGTAGCAACGCTGGCTCAGGGGGCCGGGAGAACCAAGGCAGCTGGTCTCGGAGGGACTCTGGCATCCTGAGGAGCGAAGACGAGGACGAGGATGTGGATCTGGCCCAGGTACTGGCATATCTACTGCGCAGGTAACTCCACCTCCTCCCGCCTCCCTCCTTTTCCCCCCACTGTCAGATCCCTGTCTTGGGGGGGGGGGGGATCAACCCCCCAGGTGAAGATCCCTAAAGGAATCTGGACTTCCTTGCTTTCTTTCCTTGGAAAACCTTTCGCTTCTCATCCCACGGATAAGGATGCAGGTGGTCTTCGACTTACGACCGCAGTGAAGCTACCACAATGTAGGTTGTTCAGGGATTAATGTCCATTTATTAAAGAGTGTGGAGAAGAGCGACAAAGAGGATTAGGGGGCTGGAGGCTAAAACATATGAGGAACGGTTGCAGGAACTGGGATTTGTCTCGTTTGATGAAAAGAAGGACTAATTGGGGGACATGATAGCAAAGTTCCAATATTTGGGAAGCTGCCCCAAAGAAGAGGGGGTCAAATTATTCTCCAAAGCACCTGAGGGCAGGACAAGAAGCAATGGGTGGAAACTAATCAGGGAGAGGAGCAACCTAGAAGTAAGGAGAAATTTCCTGACAGTCAGAACAAGTGGAACATTTGCCTCCAGAAGTTGTGGATGCTCCAACACTGGAAGTTTTTAAGAAGAGATTGGATAACCATTTGTCTGAAATGGTCTAGGGCCGTGATGGTGAACTTACGGCACGTGTGCCAGAAGTGGCATGCAGAGCCATCTCTCCGGGCACGCCAGCCGTCGCCCATTGCTCTTCTGGGTTCAGGCGCATGCATGTGCGCCAGGCAGCTGGTTTTCGCGTGTGCATGCGTGCCAGAACCCGGAAGACCGAGTGGCTGGTGCACATGTGGGTGCTGGAAACTGGAGGCTCAGCTCTTCCAGTATCCGGCGCTCTCTCATGCGTGCATGCTTCTGTTTCGGCACTTGGTGTCAAAAAGGTTCGCCAACACTGGTATAGGGTTTTCTTGCTTAAGCAGGGGTTTGACTAGAAGACCTCAAAAGGTCCCTTCCAACTCTGTTATTCTGAAAAGAAGGACTAGGGGAGACATGATAGCAATGTTCCGATATTTGAGGGGCTGCCTCAAAAAAAGGGGGTCAAGCTATTCTCCAAAGCACCTGAGGGCAGGACGAGAAGCAACGGATGGAAACTAACCAACGAAAGAAGCAACCTGGAATTAAGGAGAAATTTCCTGACAGTTAGAACAACCAATCAGTGGAACAACTTGCCTCCAGACACTCCAACACTGGAAGTTTTTAAGAAGAGATTGAATAACCATTTGTCTGGAATTGTATAGGGTTTTCTGCCTAAGCAGGGGGTTGGACTAGAAGACCTCCAAGGTCCCTTCCAATTCTGTTATTTTATTAAGTGCCCTATTGTGTGACTTTTCTTGCCACATTTGTTTTAGTGAATCGCTGCCACGGTTGAATGAGTTACCTGGCGATTAAGTGATTCTGGATTACTCATTGATTCAGAAAGTCGCAAAAAGGAGATGTGACTCTGGAACACGGCAACCGTCATAAATGTGAGCTGGTCATCGAGCCTCCCAAGGTAAATCACATGACCGCGGGGATGGTGCAGCAATCGTAATTGTAAAAAATGGTCGTCACTTTTTTCAATGATGTAACTTCAGACGGTCACTAAATAGACGATTGTAAGTTGAGGACTACCTCTAGGGTGCTCCTTGACTTTCAACTGTTTAGTGACCATTTGAAGTTACAACATCACTGAAAACGGGGCTTATGACTGTTTTTCACCCTTACGACCGTTGCAGCATCTGTCTGGTCACATGATTTACATTCAGAAGTTCGGGAAACGATTTTTATTTATGATGGTTGCGGCTGCCCTGGAGTCATGTGATCACTTTTTGTGACCTTCTTGGCAAGCAAAGTCAATGGGGGAAGCTAGATTCACTTAACAACCAGGGTTACTAACTTAACAATTACAGTGATTCGCTTAACAACTGCGGCAAGAAAGGTAAGATGGGGCAAAGCTCATTTCATAAACTCACTTAGCAACATGAATTTTGAGCTCAATTGTGGTCATAAGTTGGGGACTGCCTGTAGAATAGTATTCTGTCTTGGCTAAGTGTGATTGGACACAAAAGGAATTTTTCTCCGGTGAAGAAGCTCTCCCCAAAGGTGCTTTTTTCCCAAGAGGCAACTAGACTTTCCATAAAATCCAGTTGCCTCTTGAAAAAAAAAGCACCTTTGGGACAACCGTGACTGGATGATTGAGAATTTCCACAGACACTCTCAGTATACATGCAAGCAACAAAGTGATAACTCATAAAATCACCATCCTAAAATACAGTCACCATAAATCATAAGATACAAATGCAAAGGGATAGTCGTAAAATACTATGGTAAATAAAAACAACCTAAATCATAAGATCGAACAACAAAGTGGTAGACATAAGATGCTAAAAGAATAGGTAATAAAAAAGATGAGAAGGATAATACTGTTTCCCTGAAAATAAGACCCAACCGGAAAATAAGCCCTAGCATGATTTTTCAGGATGCTCACAATGTAAGCCCTACCCTACCCACAGTCAAGATTGTCGGCTAGGTGGATGCATTTAGATCCGTATTTTTCCCAAAATAAGACCTAACCGGAAAATAAGCCCTAATGCGTCTTTTGGAGCAAAAGTTAATATAAAACCCGGTTTTATTTTTAGGGAAACATGGTAGTAATACAGCCCTACTATATCGTTAGATATCCTAAAGCACAAAAGTGCTGTGGGAATTAGTTGTTTAGCAGAGTGATGAATAAGAAGAAGCTTCAGTTCTTGGATGAGAAAAAAAATGCTTTCAAAGAAATAAAAAAACAAGAAAGTCCAGTTGGAAAAAACATTTGAAGTCCACTCAGGCTGGACAGAGAATTCTGAGAGTTGAAGTCCACACCCTTCAAAGTGGCCACGGTTGAAGAAATACTGCAATAGAGCAGCAGTTGTGAAACTTTGAGCACTGTGAAGTACATTTATTTCATACACAGTTAGCTCCTTGGTGTCACGCTGGCACCTGAGCTTGTTATACATACCCAGCAAATGCATGGATATTTTTGCTGCAGATTCCCCTGTTGGGATTCTTCCAAATATATTGGACACGTTGGCTGTAGAGTAAGGGCACTGTAATCTAGTAAAACAGAAGGACATTCTGAGAGCGTAAGAACTTCTGGGAAGAGATGCTTAGGCATCCTGCAAAGCAATGGCTGTGTTCCCACAATTGAAGAAACTTCTTTAGTTTATTGTCCTTGCACCTCGTACAACAAAATCAAATACCAGTACACATCATGACCATGAAACTAAAACACAAACACACCTCCTTCACCCTCCACACATGGAACCGAAAACCCCTGACACCACACCAACACTGCACTATACAGCAGAATTCAAAAGAGCTGCTCTGGGATACAAGCTGTTTTTCAGCCTATTTGTCCTTTTTATTATTGTTCTGTGCCGTCTGCCAGATGGTAATAGTTCAAAATTTTCTTGGACGAAAAGCGAAATGTTTGCAATGAAAAAAAAAAACAAAACAAGAAAATCCAGTTATCTTTTGGAAAAAGCATCTTTGGGACAACCATGACCTGGATGGTTGAGAATCTCCATAGATGCTCTCGGGTGAGGGGTGCTCTTCCTTATCCTTCACCACATGAGGATGTGGGTAGGGCATCCTTTAAGGAGACCAAGGAACAGGCCTTTCTTCTAAGTCTAAGGAGTCCTGTCCAGGCAGAAATTGCAGAGAAAATAATATTCTTCTCATGTGAACTAGTGATAGTCTGGGTGGAGATTGACTCAGTAAGTGGAATCTAAAATTATTTTATGTGGAGCCTCATGAGACTTTCCTGGAAAACTCTAAATTGTGATTGATTACCTGTAAATCATGGAAGGAATACAGGGTAATGTGAGGTAAGACCCGAATTATTTAATAATCACAATACAGAGACAGGTCTGGTTCACAATTCAAAGAGCAAGATCTAATGGTCAAACAATACATTTTATACACTCTACACCAGGGGTCTTCAAACTTGACAGCTTTAAGACTTCAACTCCCAGAATTCCTCCTCCAGTCATGTTAGCTCAGGAATTTTAGGAGTTCAAGTCCACAAGTCTTAAACTTGCCAAGTTTGAAAGACTCTTGCTCTACACAATGTACTCCACGCCTAAGAAGCCCTCCCCACTTCCCTTATTATCTCTTAAGTTATAGTATAAGAATCAGCTTGACAGTTTCTTCCTAGGCACAGGATATCTTATCTTGTTTACTTGTAGCTTAGCTTTGGGCGGATGTTCATATCTGCCTGTTTTATTGCCAGTGGCCTTGCCTTGGCAATGTTCCTGTCTTCTAAGAAGCCTGCAACCATCCAGCACTTTTTGTTTAACTGAACATACTTTGTGGTTAGGACACAGCAACAAAGACAACACAGCTTAATAATGCCCTTAATATTTCTAATTCTATTATAAAAGAGTAACTTAATATTTATTTCCTTCAGTAATGTAAGAGTCGTGACTTAGGTTTAACTGTCCTCTTCACTGTGGGGATGCACTCTCACTAAAAAAACCAATGTTGCTTCTGCTGGGTTCCATTGTGGGTAGTCCTCAGTTTGCAACCATTCATTTAATGACTTAAAAGTTATGACGGGACTGAAAAAAAGTGACTTAAACGACTATTATTTTTTTTCACGTGACCGTTGCAGCATCCCTTGCGGTCATGTGATCAAAATGCAGGCGCTTGGCAACTGACTCCTATTTATGACGCTGCAGTGTCCTGGGTCATACGGTCGCGTTTTGTGACCTTCTGACTAGTCAAGTCAGATTTGTTAACTATGTTAATAACTTTGACACCTGTGTGATCCAGCAGTGATTCGTTTAACAACTCGGGCAAGAAAGGTGATAAAATGGGGCAAGACCCAGTAGGGGTACATTCGGGTCAAAAATCAAGGATTACCCACACCAAATATTTCCCACAAGGAATTAAAGGGTGCACTTCATACTCTTGGCTGAACCTGAATGAGGATTGTGTGTGAGGATCCCATAAAACACATAAATCATAAAAGGAATTCATGATGGTCACAAGAATCGTGACTTAGATTTAACTGTTCTCCTAATTGTTGGGTTGGACTCCCACCAGAAGCCAATCGTGTTTATGCCAGGTTAGTTAGTTTATTGTCATTGCACCTCATACAACAACAAAATCAAACACCATCGATTCAGTGCACATCATGACCATGAAAATAAACACAAACACACATCCTTCACCCTCCACACATTGAACTGAAAATCCCTGACACTGCACCAACACTGCACTATATAGTAGAATTAAAAAGAGCTTCTCTGCCCTGGGATAGAAGCTGTTTTTCAGCCTATTTGTCCTTGCTTTTATTATTATTCTGTACCATCTGCCAGATGGTAATAAATAGTTCAAAAAAGGGGTTCCGAGGATGAGATGGATCTTTGAGAATGTTTTGAACTTTCTTATGGCAACGGGAGCTATGAAGCTCTTCCAAAGAGGGGAGAGGGCAACCAATGATCTTCTGGGCAATGGTGTTAACCCTTAATGATGTTAAATAGTGCTTGCCTATCTGCAATTGGCAAACCATAGAGGTGGAGTACGTTAAGATACTCTCTATGGTGCAGCAATAGAAGGTCACCACCAGTTTTTCATTCAGTTGTTCTGTTATTTGCAGTGGTTACGCACCTCAGTCATCATCAAGCCCTTAACATTGTTACATTTTCCTGTGAAGGAAGAATTTGTGGTGGTGCCTTTGTACCCACTCTTGCATTTTTGAAAGACCAAGGGATCAAGTACCTATGAAAGGGGAAATAGGACCATTCCTTGTGGACAGGGTGGCCAGACTGAGAAGAAAGACATTTGTGTTCGGCATTTCTCTAAACTGTTTCCTTTCCTGATCTTGGTAGTTGGAAAGATCTCAGCTATCCTCTCTGTCTTTTCAACCTGTGATATTTAGGAACTGAAGCAGCTGATTGCTCATGCAAATCCAAAAATATTTTCCCCTTGATTACCATTCTGTCAAGAAAACTTTTTGTGCGTTCAATCGCTGGCCATGACTTTTCTGAGCAGGGCTCAAAAGCAGTTTGTGCTACAAGGCACTCAATAAATAAGGATAATTCCCTCTTTTTCCAATTCGCAGTCGTGGATTTATATCCCTGTAGAAAGTTGGAGGCCAGCTTCCATTTTAAGTGCCTGAACTTCATGTGGAGAATAATATTTGTCTTGTAAACTTCTCTCTACTGGAATGTAGACATCTCTACATTCTGGTAGAGAAAAATTCCCTGAAGGATGAGTCTGAAAACTCGGAAGACTCAAAACTCAGTGAACGATATGATACATATGTCTTACATATTGGCAGAAAAAACCAGAAAATAAAAGACAAGCCAAATAGTCAAGACCTTGTTGATGATCCAAACTTTGTCAAGGACCTTAGAGTACTCATCTCTAATGACCTAAGTGCTAGAGCCCACTGTAACTACATAGCCAAAAAGGCATTAAGCGTTGTTAATCTAATCCTGCGTAGCTTCTTTGTTAATATTACACTACTAACTAGAGCATACAAAACATTTGCTAGACCTATACTTGAATACAGCTCATCAGTCTGGAACCCATATCATGTATTTGATATTAACACAGTTAAGAAAGTCCAGAAATATTTCACAAGAAGAGTTCTCCGCTCCTCTACTCATTGCAGAATACCTTATGCCACCAGACTTGAAACTCTAGACCTAGAAAACCTAGAACTACGCCGCCTCCGGTTAGATCTAAATATAGTATATAAAATCATACATTGCAATGTCCTACCTGCAAATCAATACTTTAGCTTCAATCATAACAATACAAGAACACACAATAGATACAAAGTCAAGGTTAAACGCACCAAACTTGAGTGCAGAAAATATGACTTCAGCAACAGAATGGTCAATGTCTGGAATACTCTACCTGACTCTGTGGTTTCTTCCCCAAACCCCAAAAACTTTAACCTTAGACTGTCTACTATTGACCTCACCTCCTTCCTAAGAGGCCTGTAGGGGGCGTGCATAAGTGTACCAATCGTGCCTACCATCCCTGTCCTACTTTTTTTCTTATAAGTATCTATCTCATGTATTCAAAACTATATTTATTCTTATGCCTGTGTCTTGTAAGCGATTGACAAATCAAATAAATACAAAAATACTAACGACCCAGATTGTACTCCTTCTGCCTCTGAAGGCTGAATTTGTGCTTTCATTTTCTCTTCTCTTTAATTTCAGTTCTTCAGAATAGTGTTTGCTTCAGATGAAATAATCCCATGGGTGCTCAGTTAAAACTTACTGGAGGAGGAGAGAAAACAGGAAGCAAAAAACGTTGCTCAAACTCTATGGTTTTGAAGGATTATAGTCCTGTACGTGGGCAAATCGTCATGACTAATGCTGCTCTTTGTCTCCTTCCTCCTTTCCCTAGAGGACAATTTCACCTCATGCAGGGAGGGGGGACAGCCAGTGCCCGGGTGTTCCAGGCTGTTTCGGATTCTGACGACGATACTGACAGCGCTTGGGAAGGACGTTTAGGAGATCAGTACAAACCCCCAGGTATCGCCAAGAAGTCCAGAGTTTTTTTTTTCCATAACGCAGATAATTGCAGGAGACAAACGTTAACAAGGTCCAGGCTTCATATTTGAGGAAAAGCTCGCTGTGCCAGATTAGATCTTAGAATTCTGGATGTTGTAATCGAAACGCTTAAATTAGACCTCAGGCCCAATGCCCAACATTCAGACAGTGTCAGACTTAAACGAAACTACGTAGATGTCCATTAAAAAAAAACATCAAAAGCTTGCCTAGGGTTATTTTATATGTGGTGGTCTCTTTCTCTCTCTCTCTGGATCTTCTGCAGTGGATTTGGCACCAGACACTCGGGGTCTGGAGCACCACGAGATTAAAACACGCATCCAGTTAGCAACAGGCCGACTCAGGCCAGGGCGACCCGACCGGAGCATCCCAAAGCTACTGGGACAGGTATCCTGTGTTTTGCTGTTCTAAAATGCTGGAAACTAATTGGTTCGTTCTGACTTTAAACGCTCAGGGTGGGAACAGCCCCAAAGGTGCTTCCCCCCCCCCCCAAGAGACAACTGGACTTTCTGGTTTTTCTTTGAAGACGTTTTGCTTCTCCTCCAAGAATCTTCTTCAGCTCTCACTGGAGGGTCGGGGAATGGAAGGATTTATACTCCTTGCAGGCAGCTGGTCGTTTGAAAGAGGGGTTAAAGAGGCCATCTATGTCAAAATTGAATGGCCCTCTCTCAACAGAGGGGAAGGGATATGTAACATTATCTATCTCCAATCTACAACACAGTCCTTTCCACAGTTCCAAGAAGGCTCCACACCCATTTGCACCACTCAGGTGACCCTGAAAGACACAGACAAACCTCCAGGTGGCCTCAACGACCCGCTAAAAGAATGCAAAGGACCAGCTCTTCTGCAAGGAGTATAAATCCTTCAATTTCCCCCACCAGCCAGCCAGAGCTGAAGAAGCTTCTTTGGATGAGAAGCGAAACATCTTCCAAAAATAAACGTTTGTGGGGGGGGGGGGGGGGGGAAGCACCTTTGGGACAACCATGAACTGGATGACGAAGAATCTCCATAGACAAGATGGAAACAGCTTCAAAAGGAGGAAGCTGTCGTTTAGAATCGGTCTTGTAGGGAAGCAGGGCCTCTGATCTGGACAGTATATTCCCTCCCTCAGTCAGGTTGTGAGTTTGCTGGTCAAATCTGCTCTTTCTGGCACTTTAGGGCTTCAGAATACACGGTGCTAGTGAACGTCCTTATTCATGGGGCAGACCCTTTCATTTTGGCAAGAAACAAATTCAGAATGGATGTCCTGGGGTTACTTCGATACCCACAAAAAGAGGCCTCTGCCATCAAGCTACGAGGCAGAATCGACCCTCGCCCTAACTTTAATTTCCTGGATTGTTTCCCTGCTAACTAGAAGAGATTGTGAGATGGTGTAATGTAATCTAATGGTAATTTTTTTTTCCTTTCCCACAGAGGGAACGAGGTCTTTGCCATAACAGCAGTTTCTCAGCAGGGGAATGTTCGCAGATCGTATCACAGTAAGCATCTGAGAGGGGTGTGTGTGTGTGTGTAAATTCTCAGGCAACAAACGGACAGAAAGTGGTCTTAGAAGAGACTCTCTGCCAGAATTGTCGGTATACCTCACGTCTTGCTCTTTTTCCAGCTTCCTTCCTAATCACCTGACCGTCAAGGACACCTATTTGCAGAAAGCCTTCTGCGGCATCTATTCCCGTGATGGACAACTTTTTATGTCTGCTTGTCAAGGTAGGCTCCCAGATGTAATCTTTAAAAAACAAAACCAAAAGATTCCTGTTTTAGATTGTGATCTTCCTTTATGTTCCTTTTCTCCCCTTTCAGACCAGCGAATCCGCTTATATGACTGCGCCTATGGATCCTTCCGGAACTTCCGGACTGTCAAAGCCCGAGACGTCGGCTGGAGCGTGTTGGACGTAGCCTTCACTCCTGACAGGACCCACTTCCTCTACTCCAGCTGGTCAGACTACAGTGAGTCTGTATGGCACTAGGGGGGAAACCAGGCTTCCTCCAGAGAGTCCGTACTAGCCCTCGCTCCCTTCTCTCTTTAGTTCACATCTGCAACATCTACGGGGAGAGCGAGACCCAGACCGCCTTGGACTTGAGGTAAAGAGGAGACGCCCCCACCCCGGTCGGCCCGTTGAATGACGGAGACACACCCCACACCTGGCATAACATCTTTCTCTTCTTCGCAGGCCCGACGAACGCCGTTTTGCCGTATTTTCCCTGGCGGTCTCCTCGGATGGGAGGGAGGTGCTCGGCGGGTAAGCCGGCCGTTCAGGAAATGGTCTTTTTCCCATTGTGCATAAATCTTTTCTTTGGAGAAAAATGAAATTTTCTAGCTCACCTCCGCTGGGCAAGAATTTTCTGACGATGTTCTGCCATTGGGCACCTCCCACCGCATCTGTAATGTCTCTCTCCCCCTCCTTCCCTCTCTCCCTCTCTCCCTCCCTGTCTCTCTTCCCCTCCCTCCTTCTCTCTCCCCTCCCTTTCTCTTTCCCCCCTCTCTCCCCTCTGTCTTTCTCCTCCTCCCTCTCCTCCTTCCTTCTCCCTCTTTCCCCCCTCCCTCCCTCTCTCCCCCTCCTTCTTTCTCCCCTCCCTCCCTCTCCCTCCCTGTCTCTCCACCCCTCCTGTTTGGAGTCCAAGAAGTGATGCCCTTCTGTGTACCAGCTCTACCAAAGCCCCATTTCTGGCATTTGCTTTGAAGGCCCAATGGAAGCCCAAAGGGCAAAAACCGACACCCCCGCGACTAAGTTCAAATGCTTTGATTTCTGCTCCTACAACTTACAACCACTCATTTAGGGACCATTCGAAGTTACAACGGCTCTGACATATGACTGGTTACTCACCCTTAGGACCATTGCAGCATCCCCCATGGTCAGGCGATCAAAATTCAGACGCTTGGCCAGTGGTTCACACTTACGACCATTGCAGCGTCCCGGGATCATGTGGTCCCCTTTTGCGACCTTCTGACGAGCAAAGTCAACGGAGAAGCCAGATTCATTTCACAACTACCATTACTAACTTAGCAACTTCAGTGATTCGCTTGACAACCGTGGCGAGGAAGGTGGTAAAGGGGCAAAACTCACTTTAACAACTGCCTTCCTTAGCCGTTCAACTCTGGTCGTAAGTCAAGGACTAGCTTCATTCTTCTCCTGTGCAGGGCTGTTACCGAAGTCCTTCGCTGTCCTCTGTGTGTGTGTGTGTGTGTGTGTGAGTGTGTATATATGTGTCACCCCACGCACTGACCTTTTTATTCTTTCTTCTCTGTCCACTCCACAGGGCCAACTACGGCTGTGTGTACGTGTTTGACATGGAGCAGAATAAGCGGACGCTTAAGGTACTCGGCGTTGATATCTATGGAGACTCTCAGTCATCCAGGTCACAGTTGTCCCAAAGGTGCTTTTTTCAAGAGGCAACTGAACTTTCTGTGTTGTTTTTTTCTTTTCTTTTGAAGACATTTCGCTTCTCTTCCAAGAAGCTTCTTCGGCTCTGACTGGATGGTGGGGAATGGAAGGATTTATCCTCCTTGCAGACAGCTGGTGCTTTGCATCCTTTTGGAGGGTCGTTGAGGCCGCTTGGAGGTTTATTTTTGTCATCAGGGTCACCTGAGCGGTGCAAATGAGTGTGGCGCCTTTTTGGCTGCAGGATGCTTTCTGCCCTGTGCCCCTTCACCACTGAACACTGGCGCAGGCATCTGTGGACGAGCCTGTGCTGCCCGCATCCGAAACTGTGGAGTGCAAATGGCTCCTGCAGTCCGCAATCCCTCTGGAAGTCACTTCACAGCAGTTCTGTAAAAGGATGCAAAGCACCAGCTGTCTGCAAGGAGTACAAATCCTTCCATTCGCCACCATCCAGTCAGAGCTGAAGAAGCTTCTTGGATGAGGAGCGAAACGCCTTCAAACAAAAATAAACAAACAAGAAAGTCCAGTTGCCTCCTGAGAAAGCACCTTTGGGACAACCATGACCTGGATCAGTGATCCCCAACCTTTTTTACGCCGCGGCCCGGTACCGGCATCAGCTGGGCGCCGCCATCTTTTTTTGATGAAAACGTGCTTCCGGTGAGCTTTCTACCCGGAAAAGCTCACCGGAAGCACTTTTTCATCAAAACAAGATGGCGGCGCCCAGCAAGCCAGCGGCCCGGTAGGACTTGTGACCCTGAGGACCAAATACAAACTTCCAAGCAGCCTCAATGACTCTCAAACAGGATGCAAAGGACCAGCTGTCTGCAAGGAGTACAAATCCTTCCATTCTCCACCATCCAGGCAGAGCTGAAGAAGCTTCTTGGATGAGAAGCGAAACGCCTTCAAAAGAAAAAAAAACAGAAAGTTCAGTTGCCTCTTGGGACTTTCGAGTCCTTTAGCACAGGGGTCCCCAATGCCCGGTCCTCAGACTGGTACCGGTCTGTGGCCCATTGAGAACTGGGTCACACAAGCGGCAAGCAAGAGCGTGAGCACTCTGAAGCTCCTTTTGCACAAAACAGAGCGCTAGCGCATGAAACCATCCACTCTTTCCCCATCCGCTCTTTCCGTGCCATTACCACAGAGCCGGAAAGGTTGGGGAGCCACTGCTCCAGCACGGTTCTTTCCCTAAGGACCAAACATCCAGCTTGTTCTTCTGGATAAGGGAAGCTTCACTGGAGTCTCCAGAGCTGCGTGCCCAGCAGTGTTGAGGGAGGTCCCCCAGAACCCTTCTGGGTTGCCCAATGCGGCCTCTAGCTGCCTTCCGGGGCAGGTGAAACCATCACACCTGGGAAATACGCCGCCTACCTGTGCTCTCCCACCGAAATCGCCTCCCTCCCTCCCTCCCCTCTGTTTTCTTTGCTCCCCACAGATCGAGGCGCACGAGGACGACGTGAACGCCGTCGCTTTTGCAGACAACAGTTCCCACATTGTCTTCTCGGGAGGCGATGACGCCATCTGCAAGGTGTGGGACCGGCGCACCATGCGAGAGGACGACCCCCAGCCTGTGGGGATCTTGGCAGGGCACCAGGATGGTATCACCTTCATCGACAGCAAGGTGAGCACAGCTCCTGCTTAGCCTAAAGCGGGAATGTCCAACCTTGGCAACTTTTAAGACTTACTGGCTTCAACTCCCAGAACTCCTCAGCCAGCACGGCCAAGGTTCGACACCCTGGCCTAAAGCTTTTGCAGCCATATTTGGTGGTCACTAGAAAACTGGTTTAAGGAAATCCTTGGGGTTCTTTCCCTTTTAAACATCTCATCCATAGATTCTGCAGAACCCAGTTTATTTATTTTCCTTTAGAAAAAAACATGCATGGAATCTCAATGGTTGAACTCCTTTAAACTCCCAGGGGGGCAGCGGTGGGCTGCTACTGGTTCACCCCCGGTTTGGGCGAACGGATACTGAACCGGTAGCTAATTTTATGGCCAGTTCGGCAAACCGGCAACTCCCACCCCTTGCTGGCCCTGCTCCACCCCTCCCAGAAGTCCCCACGTGGCCCATGCTTGGGAAGGGTGAAAACAGACCTCTTGGAGGCTCCGGAAGGGGCCCGTTTCCAGCCTCCAGAGAGACTCCGGTGTTCCGGAAGGCCGTTTTCGTCCTCCCAGAGGCACAACGAAAGCCTCTGGAGCCCAAGGAGCGCGAAAACGCACCCCCTCCCCATCATGGTGCAGGAGGTTGACATGGCCACGCCCACTATGGCCACGCCCACCCAGCAACCGGGCAGAGAACCAGTTGCTAAAATTTTTGAAGCCCTCCTACCAGTGGGAAACATAGCTGCTGTTGGAAGACACTTTCCAAAACTGAATGAATCGTTCAGGGAAGCAAAGAAAAATCCAAAGTAAGGTTCCTTTTATTCCCCCAGATGCGGCCCTTTAGAGACAGCCATTAAAGAAGTTTTAAGTTTGTTTTGAAGTTTAGGATGGAGGCATTCAAATGGTTTGTTTCAGCTGCTGTTTTCTTATTCCCTCAGGGAGACGCTCGGTACCTCATCTCCAACTCCAAGGACCAGACCATTAAGCTGTGGGACATGCGCAAATTCTCGGGCCAGGAGGGCCTCGAAGCATCCCGGCTCGCTGTCACTCAGCAGATCTGGGATTATCGCTGGCAACAGGTGCCCAAAAAAGGTATGCGCCACCCCATCCCCCTTTAACGCAACAAGTTGGAGTGAATGCAGAGTATACAGGTGTTGTGGCTTGTCAGCCGCGGGTCCTTCCAGCAGCCAAATCGGAAGAGGAGGCATGGGAGTCAGGGTCAGCAGCAAGCCAACCTGGGAGCTCCGAGGGGGAAGAGGGAATGGAGAGAGAGAGAGAGAGACAGACAGAGGCGGAGCCAGGACCCTCTGGCAGCCCTCAGATGGAGAGTCAATAGCCCCTAGGAATTGGCTGATGAGGAAGAGGAGGAACAGCCGGGTCCAGGGCCTGACGCACAGATGGTCAGAAGGCAGAGGAGAGGAGAGCAGTGGAAATCTATGGGCTGGTCCTCGGGACAGAAGAGCCACCGCTGCTAGCGAAGCCCCACCCAAGCTCTGGGGATAAAAGGCAGGGGGCGGAGGTGAATAGATGTGGCCGACAACTATTCATCTTCTGGACGGACAGACATGTTAGCCTGCGGTGAGAGAGAAACTTTAATCTAGCTCAGGGCTGCTAAGGGCTGGCCGGGGAATTCTGGGAGTCGAAGTCCACCGGTCTTGCTCAGGTTGGACATCTCTAATCCTTTCTTTCACCAGCCCGACGTAAATCAAAACTTCCAGGTGACACTTCTCTCATGACCTACCGGGGCCACGGAGTCCTGCACACCCTAATCCGCTGCCGGTTCTCCCCGCCTCACAGCACGGGACAGCAGTACATTTACAGCGGCTGCTCCACGGGGCGGGTGGTAGGTAAGTGGCTCGGGAGCCAGAGCAAGGAAAAGTTATAGAACAATTCATTGTGGAGTGGAGGGGTGGGATTGGCCAGGAGAGGAGATCCAGGTATCCACTTGGAATTGCTGGCGCAGACCCCTAGTGGTTAAGGCAACAGGCTAAAAAACAAGAGGTCATGAGTTCTAGTCCCCCTTTTAGCCATGAAAGCGAGCTGGGTGACTTTGGCCCAATCACCAGGTACCAGTGAGTTGTAATCCCATCTTAGGCACGAAAGCTGGTTAGATCACTTTGGGCAGGTCCCTCTGTTTCTGAGCTCACCTAACCCCACAGGTTTGTTGTCGTAGGAAAAAAAATACCACGAGGATGGTGTGTTGCACACATTCATCACCTTGAGTAACTTTTCAAAATAATAAAGGTGAAATCCAAATAAATAAAGAAGTGAATTTGTCAAAAGGGAGTGGCAGGCTAAAAACGTAAAGCCACATAAAAAACTTCCTCTTCGATATTCTTAGTTCTTCTTTTAAGTCAAGAGTTTGATCATCTTTTCTCAGAGATTATACTGACATAAAGGGCAGGTGGGAACTTGGAAAAACCCAATTTTATTTATGGCTGGAACATTTGGAGAGATGGTCTTTTTAATTGGCCTGCCGGAAGTCCAATTCGCCCAGAATCAAATCTCGGAGCCCTCCCCCCAACATCCTCCAGAACAGGGGTGCCCTCCTTCCTCCCCCTTGCTCTCTTAATCCTACATGTTCTTCCTCTCTCTTCCTTCCTCTTGCCCACCTGTCTCCCCCCCCCTCCCCCCCCCCCGTCAGTCTACGATCTCCTGAGCGGCCTCATTGTGAAGAAACTGGTCAATCACCAAGCCTGCGTGCGGGATGTGAGTTGGCATCCGTACGAGGAGAAGATTGTTAGTAGCTCAGTGAGTAGCGGGAACCAGTGGCGGGGATGGATGAATTCACCTTTAGTGGGGGAGTAGTGTTCGGTTTCCCAAAAGCACAAAGCTGACTCCTCATCCCAATAAAACCTCTTTTATTTAGTTTAAAATGAACTTTCCAGCAAAGTCCCAGCCAACAGTCTTTTAAAGAGATTTTACAACTACAGACTTTTATCAGGCTTGGAGAGCTGCCAGGCCAATATCTTCCATATGCCACTCTGTAGCAGACAATACTTGGCAAGAAGTCAGGAGCAGATCTTCACTCTAATGAATTGAACTAATTGTCTCTTGCAAACACTCCCCCTTTCGCTCCTCTCTATTCCCTCTGGGAGGGGCCATTCACCGTCCACCTGTGCCTTTACTCCTGAGTCAAGTTCCTTAACTGTACCCTTCTCCTGGCAGCTCTGTGCATGCGCACACTGGGAACAGGCTCCAGCTGTTCTTCTTCCCCACTGATCTCTGACTCCATAGGCAGCTGGGAAATGTCGGACGGCCCTGGCCCCATCTCTGCCTCCGACGCAGACCCCTCCTCAGAGCCTTCCCCAGACTCCAGGACTGGCCCATGTTCCTCCCCAACCTCCTCACTGTCTGAGTCTGCCACCAGCTCTTCTGGTGGGCCACAACAAGTGTTGCTGTGTTGTATTTCTTCATTTTATGACCTGTCCAAAGGAGTTTAAGAAAGGTGCCTTTTTCCAGCCAGGGGCTCCAAGTCCTTTGGAGCCTGTATGTTCCAAAGAAGCATATAGAAGCAGAGATACGCTCTCTTCTGAGACTCAGACTAAGACAAACCAGGTTTCTGGCTCCATCTTATGGCCATTTGAGAAACCACACCTAATTACAGTTTTGCATTTTCTTGAAAGTTTACAGTTTTAAAATGTTTATCCTGGTTTATATATTTCTAACCCAAATAGCTGTTAGGTGACTCATATTCCTAACATAGCCTGTCTTCCACTTACAACTTGATCATTTAGTGACAGTTTGAAGTTAACAATGGCGACTGGAAAAAGGCAACTTTTATTTACTTTTACTTAACAAGTTAGAAACAGAAATTTGGGGCTCTGTTTGGGGTCATAAGGTGAGGACTACCTGTACTATGTTCTATTTCTGGATGGCCTTTGAGTCACGGAGTCAGCAGGGTGAGTCGCTTTCAATTCTAATCATCTTCATTCAAGTCGTAATTCAAGGACTACCTATAATCCCTGAATAGAAACAATGAATAACCCACATTCTGTCCTCTCTCTTCGCTTCCCTCCTTTCTCTCCTCTCCCCTCTCTCTCTTCTCTTCCCTCTCTCCTCCCCTCCCCTTCTCCCCCCCTTCTCTCTCTCTCTCTCTCTCTCTCTCTCTCTCTCGCAGTGGGATGGAAATGTGTGTCTCTGGGAGTATCACCAAGCAGAGTACAACGAAGACGATCTCGGCGACCCCCAGCAGCTCCCAACAGCCTGAGAAAAGCACCCCCACACCAGTAGCCTCCCCCACCACCAGTTCTCCAGTTTGAGGCTCGTTCAGGGCTGAGAGCGAGGGGGTGTGTGGAAATATCATCTTGCGTTGCCAATCGTTTGGGGGGGGGGGGGTTGCCGCAGCGGGAAGACTTCCACCTTCTCAAATGAACCGATCTTCTGTCTCCGAAACCTCCGGTGTCATCGGCTTGAGGACACAGATAACCATCCTGCCGGTTGGATCCTAAGGACGGCTACAAAAATCACACAGGGGAAAGAAGCGGCAAACAACGCAGCCGGGTATCTTTTGTCTCTGCTGAGCTGCTTCTGAATCCTTGCAGATGAGCCTCCCACGGATCCTGGTTGGAGGGGGGACGGGGGACGGCTGGCCCGGGAATTGGGGGGCAGCGAAATTCACATCTGGCTGGAAAGCTTGATGGGCCCTTGGAAGGAGACACCTCCTCCTTTTGGGGATACGTAGAATCATGACGGGGAATCACCCCAGCAGCCGGTTCTCCCCTGCAGACGGTCTCGGCAACGCGCCTCCATAGTTTTCGGGGGCAACTTCTAAGACTTGGCCTCAGTCTGGAGCTTATCAGGGAATTGGGGGCGGCGGGGGGGGGGGGAATATATATCCACTTTTCCTCCAGATCTGAGCAATAGCGAGGCGACTTCCAAGCGATGGAGATCCCCCAAAGATTCCTCGTGCGTTCCAAAGATCCTCCGGTGGGGGTGGTTTGGTTGAAATGGCTTCCCCCTCTTTTCTCAGAGGGATTCTTGCAAGATATTTCTAGGTTGACAATGAAAACATTAGCGGCTTTTGGAGATTTGTGGCTGGAGGGACAGTTTGAGCTTTCTTCCTAGCTGCCAATCTCTTCCTCTTCACCCAGATGGCGAAGGTGTGTCTTCTTCGCCTCGGCCCCGTCATACTCGGTCAAACGCGCCCCAAAATAGGGGGACCCCTTATTTTGTCTCTTCTTGAGGGCCAGGCCTCCTTGGAAAGGTGGGGTGCCGTCTTTAGCTTTAAAAGATGCCCCCAATCTGACCCTGGCGTGGCTAACCTCGGCTCTCTTTCCCTCACACATGGGGTCTCATCTGCTTTGTAAATATTAACAGTGAGACTCTTGCAAAGAAGGGGCTTTTGGGGTACCCGAAGAGTGGGGTTCTTAATAAATAGATGGAAGGGTTGAGTGAAAAGAGCTACGTGTTGCTTTTAAGCGTGTGAAAGCCAGGGGGGGGGGAGTTTTAGTTGGAGGAGGAGTCCACCCCTCCTCCTCACAATCCTTCCCCAGGGTCCTGCCTTCTGGGGGGGGGGGAACAGGGGAGGGGGGTCCATCCTGAGGCTCCCTTCCAAATCTAGGTTTTATAGAAGGGGGAGGGTCTTTCCCTTCCCCCCTTGTCTGTTTCAGGGGTGATGCAAGCAGCTGTCTTCTTTCTGAAATAAAAAGTGGTTGAAATTTGATTGGTTTTGGATTTCTGCGCCGCTGATCAAGGAGAGGTCCAACCCAGAACGTAAGGAGAAATTTCCTGACCGTGAGAATAATTAACCTGTGGAACTGCTTACCACCAGAAGTCATGGGTGCTCCACCCCTGGTGGTTTTTAAGAAGAGGTTGGGCAGCCATCTGTCTGGAATGGTCTAGGACAGTGATGATGAACCTTTCTGGTGTGGTGTGCCAAAAGCGGGAGTTCCTAAACCCATGATGGCAAACCTATGGCACACATGCCACAGGTGGCATGCAGAGCCATTTGTGCGGGCCTCAGCTAAACTTACCTGCACTGCGCATGTGCGCACCTCCCAGCTGGTTTTCGGCCTGTTTGAGGCCTTTTTGGGCTTCCCAGAGGCTCAAGGGAAGCCTCTGCAGCCTTTGGAGGCTGAAAAATGGGCCTGTTTCATCACTTCCAGTATTTGAGGCCGAAAAAGGCCTCAAACGGGCCGAAAATCAACTGGAAGGCGTGTGCATGCGCAGTGCTTGTCAGATGCTACATCTTTTCTATGCAGGGGTGGAATTCTACCGGTTTAGACGAACTCCTACCGTGTTTCTCACATAATAAGGCCGGGCCTTATTTTTTTTTTTGAGACCTGAAAAAATGGCTAGGCCGTCTTTTCGGGGGTGACTTAATTCCCCGCCCCCCCTTGCATCCTCATCTAGAGCGCCCCACAGGCAGCCTCTCTACCAGCCGCTCCTAACGGGTGATCGTGGCGAAGCGCAGAGAGCTCCCTACTCTCACCAAACACCTTTGCTGCAGACCCAAGACCTTTGGCACCTGCCGCTGTTGCTTTCCCTTCTGCCCAGTCCGCCACCACATTTGGAGCTGCCGCTTCCGTGTTTGGAGCTGCCGCCGCCGTTTGGAGCACCGCCGCCACGTTTGGAGCTGCCGCTTCCACGTTGGGAGCACCGCCGCTGTTTGGAGCACCACCGCCATTTGGAGCGCCGCTGCCACTCCAAACACAGCGGCAGCTCCAAACACAGAAGCGGCAGCTCCAAACGTGGCGGCGGACTGGGCAGAAGGGAAAGCAACAGCGGCAGGTGCCAAAGGTCTTTGGTCTGCAGCAAAGGTGTTTGGTGGGAGTAGGGAGCTCTCTGCGCTTCGCCACGATCACCCGTTAGGAGCGGCTGGTGGTGAGGAATTGCTGCCCCCAGGGCGCTCCTAACAGCAAGACCCCCCACCCTTCCCCCCATTTTGCATGTTTTAAACTAGGTGTAAATTTGGGGGGGAGGGGCTTAATTTGATTTTATGCCTAGAAAACATGTGTCTTCCTGTTGGTGGAGGCCGTATTGTTGGAGAAGCACGGTACCTCCAACAAGCATCTGGCCTCAAACAGGCCGAAAAAATATTACTTACCTATATCCTCTCAGCGGGGCAGAGTGGATTGCCACTCCTCAACTGTGTTACTCCCCAGTAGTAACAAAGCCGGTAAGTGTTTTCGGAAAGCTGTTTGTGCACGCAAAGCACACAATCTCCCACCACTGACCGGTGACTGTTACATAGAAGTTGGGTTGACAAAATCGGAAAGGAGAAGGCGATAAGGTTAGCTGGGCAAGCCAAAGGAAATAATCAAAACCATTAAAAAGCAAAAGTATAGAATATTTCAGAATTGTGGAAAAATACGGCCTACTTCACTTAATCCTCCAGAGAAAGATTGAAGGCAAATGAGGTCCAGGCAGAAAAAGAACAACCTCATGGATTCAGAATCTAAGGGACTGGGTTTGGACAAAACTCAGCAAGCACTTTTTCGTGTGGGTGTTGATCAAAATTGGATTGCCAACATCTGATGACGGATATGGCACAAGAAGCAGCAGCTCGGCCAGCGGGTTGGACTAGATGACCTACAAGGTCCCTTCCCACTCTATTCTGAACGATTGAGTCTCCACTTCCAATCTCTGACGGGGAATAAAAATTTGGCGGGGGGGGGGGGGGCGCAGAAGGATAGGAGAGAGAGAGGGGTGGAGGGAGAGAAAGAATAATTTGAGGACTCCTGATCTCTTAGGACGAGGAGACCAATTTGCTTTGGTTTGTTTTTCTTTTGATAAGGTCTCTGACCTCAGAAGAAAATCCCAAAGGGTTCAACCAAGGAGCAAAACTTTGGCTCAAAGTTTCTTCCAGTCTTTTTTTTTTTCTCTCTGTTCTTTTTTTTTTGAGATCCTTGCCAACCGATCCTTGATCTCCACCCACGGAAGTCCGTAAGGGACAGCCGGTCCCCCCTAATCCTTGTGCCCTTGTGTCCTTCACTCGGTTGTTCGAGCCCAGCTCGGGCGACATGCCCACAGCTGTCGCCGGGCGTCATTTTTAACATGTTGGGTTCCCCCCTCCGCCTCCACTCCCTCCCATCGACTCTTTTTCTCCTTCGTTCCTCGCCGCCGGGGCATCTTCGCGTCTTCCTTCAGGTGGGCTGATCCAAAGAGGGGAGGGCATGGCAGAAAGAACAGCCCCCCAAAAGCCCTTCTCGCTTCTGGCCACAGGCGCGGGATGGGCCCGATCCCTGGGCCAGGCGCTGGTGGTTTTCTGGAGCAACCAGTACGCTTGGCTTCTCGGGGTGCCAGGCCTCCGTCGCGCTTACCACCTGTGGCTGGCCTCCGTGGTCATTTTTGGGCCGCTGCTTCAGTTCTACGTCAATCCCCGGGCCATCTTTGCCAACCATCACAACTTCTTTAACATGTGAGTGATTGCGTGTGTGTGTGTTTTTTTTTCTTTTTTCTTGGGTGAGTGGGTGGGTTGGCGAGTGTGGTGGGAGCTGCGATCAGCTCCAGGGAAATTAAAGCGATTAAAATTTTATTTACTCGGTTACATTTTATTTGATTTCTATAACTAAACGAGAACCGGGGGGGCTCTCGATTCAAATATATATATAAACATATTCCAATTAAAATCTTACCATCTTTTTAATTCCTAAATCATCTTTGCACAAGGTCACCCAAGGTTACAGCTAGTCCTCGACTTATACAACAATTTGTTCGGTGACTGTTAAAACTCACGGCATCGCTGGGGGGAAAAAAATGTGTCTTAGGACCGTTTTTCGCACTTAATGACCGTTTCAGCATTTCCCCTGGTCGCGTGATCAGAATTCAATCAATCACAGTTGGAAGGGACCTTGTAGGTCATCTAGTCCAGCCCACTGCCCAAGCTGGTGCTGCTGCTTGTGCCGTATCGAGATGCTTGACTCATGACGGTTGCAGCATCCCGGGGTCCCACCATCCCCCTTCTGTGACCTGACAAAGTCAATGGAGAAGCCAGATTCACTTAACCTGTGTAACTGACTTAACGACTGCAGTGATTCACTTAACAACTGCGACAAGAAAAGTCGTAAAACAGAGCAAAGCCCCACTTAACAAACATTTCACTTAGCAACAGGAATTTGGGGCTCAATTATGGCTGTAATTTGAGGACTACCTGTAATCCATTCTTCCAGCTTTAACAGTTTCATATAACAGATACAACAAGTAGTCCTCAATTCATGACTGCAATTGAGCCCTGAAATAAGGTCATAAGTCATGCTGGTCGTTAAGCAGATCACCGAATGACCATGCCTGATTTTTTTAAAAAATGCATTCATTCCTTCAGTTTCCATGCCCCCGCCCCCACTCAACTAAGTGACACTTGATTTTTTTTTATACGGCGGTCGTTAAACAAATCTATTGTCCACCATGGGTATTTTGTGTTGGAACCGCCAGTTTCCAGCAAAACAATGTCGTAAATCAGGTGAATATGAGACACTGCAAAAGGCCATAAATGCAAACCAGTTGTGATGGGAGTGGCCGGCCATCGGAATTTTGAAATTGGATCATAAATAGCCCTGGAACTTCAAATAGTCGCTAAATCACTCGTTGTAAGTTGAGGACTACGTACCCTTGATTTCAACGTTCATATCTTTCCCTTAATCCCTTCTCTGGTGGGTCTGAAGTCTCGCCATTCTTTCACCCGGCTGCATCGTTATAAATTGAACGAAAAGAAAAATCTATACAGGTAGTCCTCGGCTTACAACAGTTCATTTAGTGACCGTTCAAAGTTACAACGGCACAGAAAAAGGGACCGTTTTTCACATTTAACAACGGTTGCCACATTCCCCCAGAGGTCATGTGCTCCAAATTTAGCCGCTTGACAACCGATTCATATTTGTGACGATCGCAGCGCCCCTGGGTCACGCGATCCCCTTTTGCGACCAGCAAAGTTAACGAGGAAGCTGAACAGTATTACTAACAGAACAACTGCAGTGAATTCTCTTACCAACGGCAGCAAGAAAGGTGATAACATGAGCCAAAACGTCACCTAAACGCCCATCTCGCTTAGCGATGGAAATTTCAGATGCGATTGTGATCGTTAAGTCCAGGACTACCTGTAATTCAGTGTTTTACCTGGAACCAGGAATCCTTGAAGCATCCAGGTGGAACGTGGCCATCTTAGTGTGCGCAGATCCTGGCTTGTTTCCCTCTCGCTCATCCTGGCTCCATTCAGATCGGCGATTCTCACCCTACCCCTCATCCTTTTTTTTCCCTCCTCACCCCAGAAAATTTGTCAGATCTGCCTGGGGCTGGACCTGCATTTTCCTCGGTGGCTTCATCCTTCCCGTGGTCTACCTGGCCACCCACCAGATCCTGCTCACCTTCCGCCACTTGGCCCGCTTGGCAGTGGGCGCCGGGCTCTGGCTCGGTGCCACAGAAGCTTTCCTGCTGATTGAGAACCTAACCGGCTACTGCTTCGACCCCGTGCCGGAAGGGATCCTGGTTAACAGCCTGCCGGACAAGTGGACGTGCCTCCACAAAGGCCACAAATGGCACGGCTACGACGTCTCGGACCACACCTTCCTGCTCACCTTCTGCTGCCTGCTGATGGTAGAGGAGATGGCCATCTTCCGGCGTTACCTGGCACAGGGCCACCCCGCCGGAGTCCCACTGCGCCTCATTTTCCTGCTTAACATCCTCCTCCTCCTCCTCTGGAACTTTCTGCTAGCGTGCACGGTGGTTTACCTCTACGACTACAGCCACAAAGTCGTGGGAGCTGCCATCGCCACCCTGTGCTGGTTCCTCACCTACCGGTGCTGGTACCGCTGCCCGTGCTCCCCGGGGAGACCCGGCGCCGGCCTCTTTCTCCGGGGAATCCCGAAAGAGGCCACGAGGCAGAATTGAATGTCTGCCGAAAGTCGGAGCGCTCCGTCAGTGGGCCCAAATAAAGGGAGGACTCTTTCCAAAGCTCTTTGTGGTTTCTGTGGGGATCCGAAGAAGGAAAGGCCTCTGCTGTGCCAGTTTACAAAAAGGGGTACGGAGCCCCGAGTCTGTCTCTCCCTTTATTATTACCGTCTTTCCCCGAAAATAAGACCTTGTCTTATATTTTTTGCCACCCAAAAAGGCACCAGCTCTTATTTTCGGGGGATATCCTCCCCTGACTAGCCTCCCTTTCGCTGTCAGAGGACTTCAGGAGCTTCTTCTGTGGCCGGCAAGGCTTTCCTGAAGGCCTCTTGCAGCCGATAACAGCTGATAATTCTGGAGCGATCCGGAGCTTTGTTCTCAGCTCCAGGAAAGCCTTGCCGGCTGCCGAAGAAATGGGCTGGCAAGGCAGGTGTGCGAGGCCTGGATACAACTGTCCAAAGGCAAGTTGCAGGGCAGCTCCGCCACCACCCCAATCCCCACCCAAGCTTAATTTTTACCTGTCCATTCTTGAGTGGGCAGGATCTTAATTAGGGCTTATTTTGTGGGTAGGGCTTATATTGGGCGCCCATGTAAAAATCAAACTAGGATTTACTTTCAGGGTAGGTCATATTTTTGGGGAAATGGTATTATATTATTATTGATCATCACATAGTCAGGCAGATATTCAGACTGGGTTTAGCATTTTTGAATAGTTATCGAGTCCTTACCAAGGACCTAAGCAGATTATTATTGTTGTTGTTGTTTTAATTAATTAGGGAACTTTTTACAGCTATCACTAGAACACTGTTTCTCAACCTGGGCTGCTTTAAGATGGGTGGACTTTAACTCCCAGAATTCCAAAGCGGAAGGAGGGGGGGTTAGAGGAATAGGGAATTCTGGGAGCTGAAGTCCACCGGCCTTAAAGGGGCCAGGGTTGAGAAACACTGAGCTAGAACATAATAACGGTGGTGATGATAACGAGAAGATGACACGTGTGGAATGTTTTTTTCCAAGCTTGGTGCCGAGCTGGCTAAGGAGTTGGGACAAAATGCACTGGGAACAAGTCCAGCCAAAGAAGATTTTTCTGCATTTTCTTACATTATTGTTCATTTCTCTTGGCAGGGACAGACAGACAGACAAAAATATAATTCTGTTGCACTATCTATCTCCATTTTGCTATATCTAGTATCAATCTAATATACCTACATTTATCTATCCACCCATCATCTTCTCATCTATATCTACCTACATTTATCTATCTATCCAACCATCCATCATCCTCTCATCTATCTATCTATCTATCTATCTATCTATCTATCTATCTATCTATCTTTC